CTTCTAAATAAACCAAGAGAAACAATCTGTGAGTTCACACTGGCCCCAAGGGCCCTAAAAATACTGTTTTACGTTGACATATTATGACATTTCTCTTGAGAGGAATGACTTTTCTCGAGTTTGAAAATAGCCTCCCTGGTATAAAGTATCGCATTGGGAGTATCAGAAGTATCTACTGTCTAGCATAGAAATTGGAAATCATAGAATACATTATTCTAGAAGATCCAGCGAAATATTTAAAATGTACTAGATTTAGATACTTTTGTCTTTTGTGGTACTAGCATTTATGAATGGTTGAAATGTACTGAATCTAGTACAATTGTACTAATAAACCCAACGCTGCTACTAAATAAATATACCGACGTGCCGAATCTAATGCAAAAGTTTTATTTTTATACCTGTTTCATCGAAAATATTTGTCAAGGTCAAGAACTCGTTTAGTTATTATCGCGTAGTAGCTAGGGGTGATGAATTTGTTAGGTATTTTATAACAGTTACCGTTTAGAACTAATAAAATTATTACGCCATCTGTTGAACAAAAGAACTATTAAATATGGAATATTGCTCCATCTGCTGAACAAAAGGATTCTTAATTTATGACACATAAATGACATCTATCAAAATTAGTTCATGTTACGAATATTGGGGGTGGTACTGTGGTCTTAAACGAGGAGAGGAATAGTAATCGAACGTGCAGAATTTAGCGCGCCTGACGATCATTAGACAAGTCTGGCAAGGCTTTCGGGGTATTCCACATTAGCCAGATTGTATTTTAAGCTGTTATCATAATATACATTTTTCTAGTACTGAGAACACTTGTAACAGGGATCCTTACTGGGCATTGCCAACTAAAAGGACACCTTAGTAAACTGAGAGTAGTAGAAAATAGTGAGTGAAGATTCTGTGAGGAGAAGGACGAAACCTTCATTTACATTCTAACTGAATGTGTAGCACTCCAGAATCCAAGGGCACTATACCTAGGAGCATATCAAATAGAAACTTGAAGCCACTCCAAATCCAACACTTCCTTGAGAAGATATAATTGAAAGGGTCGTTATAGGCATTGAGACATTTCCTTGCTGCATTAGCGACAAAGGGGGCACAATAGATATTTTAGGTCGCAGTGTATTAACACCCCATTCCCAACATAACATAACATAGCGAGAAAACTGCAAAATAATGAAATCCACAAATCCCAGTTCATATTTTGGACATCCAACTACTATTATTTTTAAAATTTTAAATTCTGACAAACTGTCAGTATATTTTTTAGTCAATAAAATTACATATACGTTAAAATTAGTTATTTTTGTTTAGAATCGATAAAAAATAACATTTTAATTTTATTTGGGCCACATTTAAAAAAGTTAATTTTAATCAAATTGTATGAAACTAATTTAATCACGAGTATTAAAATTAAAAACCTAAAAGTGGCGATGGAGCTGAGGACAGAGCATTTACCTTCCACGCGAATAGCCTGGGTTCGAATCTGGACTAGGGACTAATGTTTTTTATTTTATAAATTAATAAAATTCATAAATTATTTTAAAATTGTTTATTTTGTCCAAACCTAAAATAATTTTTTAAATTTGTAGATTTTCGTTAGTAGTTCGTAGAAAAAATATACTGCACAACTCGAGTGGATTGTCCATATCTACTCTTGTTGCGAAAATTAAGGAAATTTTTGTGATGAAAATTATTGTAATGAAAATTATTCAGTTTTTTCACTTATATATGATATTTTATTCATTTTCATAGATTCGCCAGAATTTTTTTACTTAACTTCAGTATACCTCTAGAACTATTAGATATTATATGACTAGGGTTAGGGCTTTAGTCCCCCCAGATCTAATGACATAACTTCGCCTATGTTAGAAAGTTGCCAGATAACAACTATAATTACAGAATAGACCCCTATATCGTTTTTTCACTTTTATAAATATAATCCTAAAATAAGTAGATAACATGCATCAAATATAGAATCGTTTAGTTACCAATTACATACCTTTAAACTATTTTTTATGACCTGTAAACAATATTTAGAAATAAACTAAAAACAGTAAAAACGTATATGTAAATTTTTAATAAAAAAAGAATTGAAAATATTTTTTTTTGGCTAATTTCTGGTCGGATTTCTAATATCTAAGCCTCTAGTGAAACGTGTATCTAAGATCTCGGGTAGTATACAACCTAAATAAAATTGTTTTAGTTTGCTTTCCATTTCGTTATGCCAAAATATATCATCTCTTTTTATTTTTTCTACTAACATACCTAAAGGTGTCCATACAATGAAAAAACAAATATTTCTTTTAGTTACGTGAAGTTGTCCCTGAACCTGGTAATAATAATTATGAGTTCGTTTTAATTTAATTTGGCCATTGTCAATAATAATTGCAAATTTTGTAATTTTTTCAACTATTGCTTTTTCCGGAGTCAGTTTTGAAGCAGTAGCAGGACATTTAATTTCAATAATACTCTCGGTTCCTATTAAACCGTCCGGACTTGCACCTAAAAAACCATATTCAGAATCCACAAATAAACCACATTGTTGGACCTCCACTTTAAATTCCTTTAAAAATTCCTCTATAGCTAAAGGTTCCTTTTTAATTCCATACTTAGTAAAGTCATTTCCCATATATTTGGAATATAAAAAGTTTTTAATAAAATTCGTACAACTTGTTTGTGGACGCATTTTGCATATGGTTCCAAAATTTGACGCGATTAAGCGGGTACTTCTGGCTTGTTTCCAAACTGAGTTGCCAACTTGTCCTCTCGTTTCTTTTTAAAGCTGTATAATTTCATTCGATGATATGTGAAGTTGTTCCAGAAAGGTAATTTTTTTATCTTCGTACTCATTGTCAGGTATATCTGGCATTTTTTCCTTGTTTACAAAGTTTGTAAACCGTAATCTTTATCAGGAAGAGAACTTTGTTTTGCCTTTTTTTAAAGACACGTTTTCCTTTTATATTTTTTTCATACCAAAGCCTACGTCTTGTAATTTTATTGGAATATTTTTTGGTGTAACCCGTTGGACTTGTTAGTAACAGCTTTAAAAACCTCTTCGTAATAATCAGATCTGCCTACATTAAAATATATTGAGGCTGCTTCACACCTCGAAGCGTATGATCCCCTTAGAGAAAAATTAATACGTTTTCCACCAACCTACTTACATATTATCGAATTGTAATGTTCAGCTAGATTATTATCCATATTTAATATTAAACTGGAAGCATTATAAACTAACCTATACAAACAGTTTTCAATGTCCTAATGTTAACCACAATTTTTAATTTCTTCAATGTAGTTTTTTTCACTAGGATTCGGTTTGCATTCAAAGTACCCAATTTCTTGGTATTTTGTATGTTCACTAAATACGTGTGATGGTATATTTTTTAAATCTTTACACAAAAGCTGTATTTTTTCTGTAAGTGGTTTTTCTTCGTAAAGAAAAATTATAAAAATGTTTTTTTGAATTGGGACTCTACAGCTGGATTCTCTATCATTTTTAAAGCAGGTATAGAAAATTAAAAAAAATATATTCGAAATTGAGGAAGAAAACCTTGTAGCCGTTTCGAGCTCGTTTCTAACCATAGATATCGCTCTTAAGAGACGTAAACCTGTGTATGAAAATTGTGAATTTACTATCGAGAAATCGCAAATCGAAATCTGAAAAATAAGTGGCTGAAATAATTTGAAAATTTGGAAACAAATATCAACAACCCCCTACGAATTATTAAGACCCCAAAGGTAAAAACAAATACGTCTTACTGCGAAGAAATAGTGTGCAGGCGCACCATCTTGTTGAAACGTTATTTTCAAGTTACCAAATTCATCTAGAATATTTATATTCCAGAATGTGAAGAATTAATAGTTCAATTGCGTTTTGTAATATCTTCAGATATACTTGACCGGTTAAGTACGAATTAAAAAATAGGCTAGTTTCTCAAATTACCTGCCCAGACATTTACTTTTGATGACAACATGTATGTTTATCACGAAACATGTGAGAATTTGTCACTCAAATACCTCATACTTTGATAATTAACATTTCCATTAAGAAAGTACTTTCGTCACTAAAATAAGTTGTTTTTACATAATCTGGCTGTTGGACAATTTTCGTGGCCTTATTTTCTCAGAATTCCAGCCCGATGCTGCATTTTTACTTTGTATGGGTGAAATTTGTTTTTGTTCAACACCTTGTGTACTGTACTATGACTTACTTCAAATTGGATTATGGAAGAGATAGGGTTTACTGCAATGTCTGCAACTACATCTATCAATTTGTTTATCAATACTACTACCTGTTCTTTGAAAGGTATGAACAAGTTCGCTTAAATAAGTCCTCGATAATAAGGCCTTTAATAAAAAATGCGTTTCGCCGAATGCAAATTGTTTCCACTTTCACCAATATTAGGAAAACGATAATTATATTGTCAAGCAATTGATGAGTTTTCTATTATCGTTGAAATGTTCACAAGGTCATTTGGAAGTAAAATAAAAGTACAATATCTATAAAAAGTTGTTAATTAACTTATAAATCAACAACAGTCAAGATGCAAATGTTACTACTATTATTAAATATGTGCAACGGTATTTTTTATTAAAATTTAAACTTCATTATTTTATTCAGAAATTTTTTGCTAACCCTCCTTTAACTTGTATCTTACCAGTCTATGTTTAAAATGGGATATATTCTCGAGATGATTCAAAATATTTGCTGTGGTAGGGTCTGATTACAATTAAAAGAACACCAGTTATAACCATTACTTCAAATTTCGAATACATTATCTACTATCAATAAATAAAAAATAAGTAAGATGTTAGGTATAAAACAATATTTCCTATATTCCTATAATATTAAAACTCTATTAAACCCCCAGTAGACGATAATAACCAATTAATTACTTTGCCAAATGATGATGTAGCTGTGTTATTCTAATTGTTATCGGACCCTACCATAATTATGAAAGGGATTTACTTTTACTTTTTGTGTGCTTCAGATTCTAAATAAAAGGAAAAAGGAATTCAATTTATTAAACAAGCTGTATGGATTGTACCTAGCCGTAAATCATAGTATTGATGGTTACTTTGACATCCCATGGAGCGACATAGATATTGAAGTTATTTTTGAAGATTTAAAAAATTTCCAAAACAGGTAAAATTACTTGTACCTAGTACCTAGTACCTATCTAGGAACACAGCAATGCCCTGCATGTTAGTTAGCATTTCAGTTGAAATTGCTTTATCTTTCTATTTATTCGCTACAGAATCATAATTTAAATTGCAGATGTCGAAAATTACCGAAAGGGATGAAAGACTGGCCTGCGTATTTGGAGTTAAAACAGAAAATTGACGATTTCAACGAAACGTGTCCTTTACTGCAACTCATGGCTAACAAAGTAAACTTTATTTTTTAATTTTGCGGCTATTTAAATGACATGAACGTAATTGGGATTATATTTTTCGATAATTTAGCAGCTTAACTTTTAAACGAATAAAGATAATACATGCGGTTTTCACTAAAACGTTTCAAGTTTGATTTGGTGGGAATTATATGAGTGACACGCTTTTGGCCAGACGTTATTAAAAGTTTTTATGTAATATTTATTTCTTATCTTCTACTATTCATAAATATCTCAATATAATCCAATCAAACTCCTCACCTGAAATTGAATTGATAATATATTCGTAATGTTTTTAAATGAATGTGCATATTGTTTGATTTTTCCTACACACACCTACTTTTAAAAAAGGCGATAAACTCAATTATTTACCTCTGAGTGTTGTTTCCTCCCAGTCAGTTGTGTTAAAAAATCCTAGACTTAAGCACTTTTTTAAGAAAAACAAAACGTTTATTTTCATGTTTATATTACCAAATTAGCAATTATTAAAGTTTTTGTTATTTAACTTTGCGATATTGTAGCAAATGATTTATCCCTAAGCCTTCATTTATTAGTATTATTAAAAATTCTTAAACTTCTAAAGGCCATGAAAGAAAGGCATTGGAAACGTCTCACTAACATCACTGGCTATAATTTCGATGTGGAAAATCCGAATTTCACCCTAAAGAACGTAATGGAGGCTCCATTGCTGGATTTCAAAGACGACGTGGAAGATATTTGCATAAGTGCCGTCAAGGAAAGGGACATCGAAACCAAATTGAAACAATGCCAAGCCGACTGGGCGATAGTAGATTTGACCTTTTCGCCGTTTAAGACCAGAGGCGAACTGCTCCTTCAAGGCAGAGATATCGGGGACATTGTTACCCTTCTTGAGGACAGCTTGATGGTTTTGAATTCATTATTGAGTAACAGGTAAAGTTCTATGGTGAAGAGTTCTAAAATAAATATATTTATTGTGGTAATTTGGTTAACAACTAAAGATGATTAATTTTTCAGTATTAAAGCCCTATTGGATCAGTATCTAATCACTTTCACATTTGTAGATACAACGCACCATTCAAAAAGGAGATCGTATTATGGGTTCACAAATTGGTAGACACCTCCGAAATTTTGGACAAATGGATGATTGTTCAAAATCTATGGATTTACCTGGAAGCTGTATTTGTGGGCGGTGACATTGCACGACAATTGCCACTAGAAGCTAAACGTTTTGGCGTACGTTCACAGATTTGTATGCCAATAAAAACACCCAGTTTCATGAGTTTTTATTATATCCAAAGTTAACTAAATATAGATACTATACTAGCAGAAAGCTAAATTAATATAGTATATTAAATTACGAGTGTGGAAAGTGACATTTTTCACACGAGTGGGAAATATTGTCGCACGAGGCACAAACGGAGTGTAACTATCAAACGAGTGTGGAAAATCACTTTTCACACAAGTGATGTATAATATTTTTCCTACGACCACAAAATAATTTCATCAAAAAATGTAAAACCCGGTTATTATTATAATAATTAAAATGTATTTAAAAAAATAATCAACAATAATTTTCATATTTTTCGAAAAAAAAAATTAAAAAAAAAAAAAACAAAATCTGCAACCACCAAGTTTTGAACGCGGCCCGTGGACCCGTCGTGTAAGCCAAAGTTCAAATTGCAACTACCCTACAACCTGAGCTAATGGGTCTTATATCAAATGCATTTTTAATTCGATTTTTAGTTTAAACAGATCCTAGATATTTATTTTTAACAATTATTAAAATAATTTTAAAATAGGTCCCAGTTTCGAATCCCACCGTTGGCCGGGTTTTTTTCATTTAATTTAATTATTTAAAATTAATTCTGATGCCTTGGTAGGACTCCCCACTCGACCATTCACTGTTGGGTACTAATTAACAGTGCTGTTCCTAAAGTGGTGCTGAGAAACAGTAACAAAGCCTACAGAGAACATGAGGCTAATAACCGTAGCAGTTGATGCCGATGACACAAAAAAAAACTACATACATCGCATTATTTTGGCTTTTTATTCTGTTTCAATTCTAATAATTCAATCATCATATCGATTTTACTGTTAATATGGACATTACATAAATCAAAATAGAAATGATGCGTTTGACATTATGTGACAGCTGATGCGGAAAGTAGCATATTTGTACACGTGTGATATAGGGCACTTTCCATAGGAATATATAGTGTGATATGTGTCACTTTCCTAAGTGGTCGTAGGAAAAATATATTTTTACTGCGCAGGAGGTATTTTTTCCTATCTCCATATTTCTTATCTCAACTTGTTTAGATTAAATTAAATTATTTAGTATATTATTTAGTATATTATATTCTGTCCACAAATAAAATATTGTTTACACATATCTAAAATATTCTTTTACATAAAGTAGCGTGACATTTTCTTATCCCCTTCCTATGTGACATCTATAATTTCTATTACACTTTACTCATCCATCTGTTTCTTGATCTATCCTTTCTTCTCTAATTAATTTCTTATACATTTGGCCCCTTGTACAATTCTTGAAATTATGTCTGTAGAGTGTATTCCATCATATATCGGCCTCAACATTTTTACGTTCCACATTTGTATTTGCTCTCATTACACTGAGGAAAAAGGGATGGCTCAAATAATATAAGTCCGGAGCCCCGAGCAAACAAGATTTCATTTGTAGAAGAGACGAACGAAAAAATAAAGTTTTGAGAGTGTAACAACCAACTAGCCTAAAGACCCATTTGTAACAACTGATAGGTCTTTAACTACTCTTGTCAATATACTAGTAAGAGATTAAGTCAGCATTGTCACCAGCAAAAGGGTCCTGAAGTCCAGAAGGAACATTCATTCACCAGTGGCAAATAAAAATGATAAAAAAATAAAATTTAAATAACAAAATTATCCCTTAATTGCATAGTCTAGCGGCTTTGGCGACTTATGATAGGTTCTTCTAGTCCTTTAGGAGTGGAAATGCCGAGGCTTCACAAATGCTCGGAATATTTCATGATGGTTTTGGAAAGGGGAGGAGAAAAGAATAATAAGCATTAAAACAACAAATATATATTTAAAATAATTACAAAAGGACCAATAGTCACAAGAATAAATAATCAGTTCATATTTAAGAAATAAATGTTGAAATAAATTAATATTGTTAAATATAAGCTATATAAATTTGGGACAAAAATGTAAAAATTGGCATTTATATGGAAATCAAGTAGGTATCTCAAAACAAAACCAAACAACACTTTTAAAATAAGTTAAAGATATTTACCTATAGTACACAAATCGCTGCACACAACTTTACTTTACAAGGAGTTCGGGCATGGTTTTACTGGATGAACAGTTCCGATGATGTAAAGGGCTGGAGTAAGAAATGTGCCACCTGTGCTATGAGTATTGGACCTCAACGAAAAAGGAAGGCTCCCATGAAGCAATGCAACATTGGTAGCTTATTTGAGAGGATTGCCTTAGATATTGCTGGACCATTCCCCGCAACCGAGGATGGTAATAAATACATTTTGGTGGTTATGGATTATTTTACAAAGTGGGTGGCAGTCTATGCCATTCCAAATCAGGAGGCCGGAACTGTTGCAGATGTGTTAATAAAAGAGTTTATCTGTCGATTTGGAGTGCCCTTGGAGATCCCCAGTGACCAAGGCAGAAAGTTTGAAAGTCAACTTTTCCGTGGAATCTGTGACAAACTAGGCACGAAGAAAACCAGAACCACAGCATTGCACCTACAATCCGATAGAATGGTAGCGCGAATAAATAAGACCATTGGAAAATATCTAGCTACGGAGGGATGTTTCAAGAAAGGCGAAAAAGTCTGGCTCCATAACCCAAAAAGACAGAAAGGTTATTCTTCGAAGCTTCAAAGATCTTGGGAAGGTCCGTATCTCATCAAGAAAAGAATCAATGATGTCATCTACCGTATAAGATCCCGAACGGTAAACCGAAGGTAGTGCACCACCGGCTAGCGCCATTTGAGGGTGACCATGACGAGGAAGAAGAAGTAAACCAGCTCCAAGAAACACGTGACTTTTTCTTTGAAGAATTTATGGGTGCATATGGAGGTACCGCAAAAGCAAGACATGGTGTTAAGACCGAGCAAAAACAAGATCTACTCTCGCTTCCAAAGGACTACTCGCGGGTCCATAGTACTTCCGCCAGCATCAACGACGCGCGAGGACTGGCATATGTGTTCCGTAAGAAGTTTGGTCGACTGCTAGAACTTCAACATCAGTTACCGGCCCCTGGAAAGGCTTTGAAACTTCAAGACAAATCGCGCTACCTTTTCTGTTTGATAACGAAGAACACCTTCCGAGATCGATCCACTTATAATGATGTATGGGAAGTATTACTTAGTTTAAGGGAGCACGTACTGGAGTCCAATGTACAGAAACTAGTTATGCCGAAGATAGAAGGAAATCAGCTGGATTGGACCATCGTTAGGAACATGGTGGAAGTAATCTTTCAAGATACCGGAGTCCAAATACTGGTCTGCAGCCATTCGCCCAGTGTCCAGGTTACATCAAAGGCGGCCCCCTTGTTACTTCCATGCAACTAGAAATTGTAAAAGAGGGTCCAGTTGCAGATACAACCATTCCATTTTAGTTTCGTACGAGTTCCAGGAGGAACTCTCTCTTAAGGAGGGGGCAATGTAATGTGAGCCATTTTATTATTCAGTCATGCTCTAATCCTCCAAGTCCCTCTCTGTCTTATTTGGCCTTTGAGATATAATTAAACCCCTTAAGACCAAACATGTAACGACTATGGTGGAGGTGCTTTTCGAGTACATTCCAGAGTCAATGTGATAATGTTTCTAGTATTGGTGAAAATTCTAGAACCTTCGCCAAAGTTTTAAATGTGTATATAAATATTGGTGGAGGAACAACGGGCCATTTAATTATAGATAGACAGTGAATATAAATAGTGAACAATTCAAAGACATTCGAAATATATATAAATTAGACTAGTAGTGTTATAAAATAAATAAGCGTTTAAATAAATTATTAATAAATAAACTGTTGTTTAAATTAAATAAATATCACGGTATCTTAGACTATATTGTTCGTTTTCTCTGCAAACCAAGAAACGTACGTCTCCTTGAAACCCAAGCAAGAGTATTTATTACCTCGTGCAAACTAGTTTTATTTTTAATAGGCCTCGCCTGACGTCGGTTCTTTGTCATTCATATTAGTTTCGTTGTTTAGATATTAATATTGTGTTTTTTCTTAGTGTAGGATTTATAATATATTATTGTTTTTGTTTTCCTTGGGAAATAATTATTTTTATCCGCTAATAGTTTTTGTTTCATATTGATGTAGAATATTGGGATTGTTTGATATTGTATTGTTTGTTTTATTCACAATATTTTATTTGTATTATAATTTCCTTCCATAATATTTCATTTTTTTTTCCTTTTGGCTTAATATTTTTGTTATATTTTCTTCTCGCTTACTATGAATTATTGCCGGTCTGGGAGTTTTTATAAAAAAATTTATTTTTAGAACATCGACAAGGCATGGGTAAAGCTGATGGCCAGAGCTCGAGAAAAACCCAACGTTGTAGAATGTTGCACGGGCGACGAAACGATGGGACAGCTCTTGCCTCATTTGCTTGAGCAATTGGAAACTTGTCAAAAGAGTTTAACTGGTTATTTAGGTAGGTACATTTTTAGCAAAATCACATTTCGTATATTTTTGTGTACGTCGGAGTATGCAAGTCCTCTCACATTCATAAATAGTACCAATAAAAAAATAGAATCTTATAGCTTACGAACACTGTTAAAAACATACTTATTTTTAACCGTCAATAAAAACTGAATACGCATCTGTGCAGGCACGAGCTCTTACTAAGAAAATATTATTTAAAAACGTAATCACACCGGATGTATGAAAGACATGGATGTAGCGATATTGTTTCGGATTGTCTTAGAGTTCTTTCTATCTATCTGAATTAGGGCGTGGTTTAAAGCCCACCTGTATTGAAGCTTTAGGCTTATTGTACCCCTCACAGTTTCTATCCCATCAGATTGATTTTCTTGATGAATTCAAGAATGTCTGATGGGCGCTTTCGCGATTTCTTCAGGTTCCGGATATTGTACCCGAAGTACCATTCCCGTTCCCATTTAAGGTTCCGGCACTGGCATAGTATGTGAATAGGAGTTTCGTCCTCCTCTTCACATATTCTACATAGGGAGTCATCAGATATCCCTAAAAGATTTAGGTGTCTTCTAAGGCCGCAGTGTCCCGTAAGGAGTCCTATTACGGCCTTGAGTTCGCTTCTGCTAAGGTTTAGAAGTTGATGTTGTCTGCTCGTGGATGGCCCCTCTATATCTTTTGGACTGTCTAAGTCCAGGAAGCTCCATCCAGAGCCTATGGTTATTTGTTCCTTTAACGCCCATTTAACATGTTGGTATGAGATACCACACGTGGGTTCTGGTCCAATAAGAGTTTTTTCCTCTCCCTTCCTTGCTAGGAGGTCTGCTTTCTCGTTTCCAAACACTCCCTCATGTCCTGGCAGCCATTCAAGGGTGACCTTGTTATGTTCTGCCAGGGCCTGGAGGGACTGTTGGCAATCAAATATTGATTTGGATTGTACTTCTACCCTTTTCAGTGCTTTAAGGACTGCCTAAGAGAGTCATTTAGCATGACTTTGGCGCAGGTATTTATTGCTGTTACTTCAGCCTGGAAGACTGTTGTCAGTGACCCCAGGTTCAAACTAATTGTCCTCCCTGAGTTCACATGGTAGATCCCAGCTCCTGTGCTGTTTTTCATTTTCGAACAGTCTGTATACCAGATTGATTCGTTTTGTTTTTCCCTATTTTTCCTGCTTTTGACCCTTTCTGGTATTTGAATATCAAAAGGTTTCCTGAAGTCGTGAATAATGGGCGTTCTATCTGATGGCATTCTTATTTCTAATATCAAATATTCTAATATCATTGTGTGGTGTCCTTTTCTCGAAAGTTCCCATCCAAATCCATTAGTAAACAGCCTGTATGCCGCCGCCATAGCCTCCTTCTCCACCACAAGGTGTAGTGGAGGAAGACCTAGCAGTACCTCCATTGCTGCTGTGGGCGTAGTTCTAAATGCCCCTGTTATTATTAGACGGGCTAGTCTTTGTACCTTGTCTAAGTTTCTGTTAGCTGTTATGCTTTTAGTCTTGTGCCACCATATGACTGATGAGTAAGTTATAACAGGTACTACAGCAATCCCTCTTTTAGGCACCATCTATCGACGATATTTAGTGCCCACCGTTTACTACGATGCTTATGTCGTCTGCAAATGCTTGCGTGTATAAGTTTTCTCTCTCTAACTCTCATAAGAGGTCATTAACCACCAAGGTCCACATAAGAGGAGATAACACTCCTCCCTGCGGGCATCCCTTGTTAACTGAGACCTCTCTTGTTGTGTTAAGGAGATTACTGGTAATGGTTCTATGAGTAAGCATGAACTCTACCCACCTCGTAATGCAGTGGGCTACTCCACGCCTTTCCATAGATCCCAGTATTGAATTGTATGAAGCCGAGTCAAAGGCTCCTTCTATATCTAGGAAGACTCCTAGTGCTATTTCTTTGCTTTCCAATGCTTGTTCAGCCTGTTGAGTTAGCCTATGTATGGCTGCATCGCAAGACTTTCCAAATTGGTAGGCAAACTGGTATCGATGTATCGGTTTATCCCGTAGAACATCGTCCCGTATATATCTTTCGATCAATTTCTCCAATGTTTTTAGGAGAAATGATGTTAAGCTGATTGGTCTGAAAGATTTGGTCTCCTTGTACGACGCTTTCCCTCCAGTACTTCCTGGCCCTTCTGTAGAAGTGCCGGGATTATACCATCAGGTCCAGCTATTTTGTAGGGTTGAAAGGAATTTATCGCCCACACAAGTTTTGTTCTGTTTACTATTGAGTTTGCAAGAGACCAGTTTGTTTTTGAGGCCCTAGAAATTAGTGCCTCAGTACTCCTGTTCTCTTGGTCAAGAATAATCTAACATCCAGGAAAGTGTGACTTTAGTAGTAAATCTAAGGTCTCCTCCTCTGTTTTTGTGATTTCTCCTTGTTCATTTTTCAGAGATCCCATGCATCCTTGCTTATCTCTCTGTGGAGTTTTCCTGAGTCTGGCACAGGAAGGCTTTCAATGTAACCAATTATAGGCATAAAAAATCGTGACTGTAACTTTCACACAGATGTTCGAACAGTTACATCACCCGATATCACGCTACATTACATTTATTGGTTCAATCCGAGACAGAGTGTGACTTAAAGAGTCGCGTCATCGTCTTTTCCTAGAAATATCTTTAAGAAATATATTTTTAAAACCATTTCATTATTATCTTTTCAACTAGTTCCACATGAGTTAATAGAATGCCGTAGTAGCGTATAAATATGTTTTTTCTACACGCACATGGATATTAGCTATTCTACGTACATACTACAAAATGAAAAAGAGCACTGCACAAATATGAAATCCACCAACCATATAGTTCATATTTTGTTTACATTAACATGCATTAAAATGAGTTATTCTGGTGTAGACTCGATAAATAATTGTATTTATATTTTTATTTCGTCTATATTTACAAACAAATTATAAATTTTAATAAAACTATTTGAAATCAATTTAATGACTAGTATCAAAACTAAAATGTTGTTTGTAAATGGAGCTGAAACTAGCGCATTTGGCTGTCATGTGAGAGGTACCGAGTTCAAATCTAAAATTAGAAACTAATTAAATAAAATATTTTTTTAAGTTTATTTTATTTTATAAATTAGTAGAAGTAATAAGTTATTTGTAAATTAGTTATTTTATCATAATGACCTAAAATTATTTTTAAAATTTATTTAAAATTTAATTTTTGTTAGTGGGGCGTTGAAAAAATATACTGTTCGTGTCATATTGGCATCATATCCACTCTCGTTGCACAAACTACTATTCTAAGATAAACTTAAATATATACAACACTTTTAACAATGCACTGAACACTTGAACAGTGTACAAAAGTTTCGCACATCGTGTGGAATAGGTAACTTTCTGCATTTGTTGCACAATATGCTATTTAGTTATAGGTCATGTGATTTTCTTGTTTCAGAAACTAAGAGATTAAGTTTTCCAAGATTTTTCTTCATTTCGGATCCTGTGCTGTTAGAAATTTTGGGACAGGCTTCCGATCCGAATTCAATACAGCAACATTTGTTGAGTTTGTTTGATGCTGTCTTTAAAGTAAGTTAAATATTAAAAAAATGCGCGTCCGTCAAAAAGTTTGCGCAATATTAAATTGTCAAAAATATTTGTTGTTATAAGAGGTTTTCTACTCCTTGAGATAATAAGTTTATATAGTCGATTACTCGGGCGCCAGAATATTTGAAGTGATTTTTTCCACTAACTCTGCTTCAAAAGTACTCGGCAGCTTCAGAAGGAGATGAAAAATCCAGAGGTCTCATTGATTTTAGACTACAAGTATGTGCACTGAGAGTACAAACAACGGGCTGAAAAATAGGTAGTCAGGGAGACTCGAATAACCGCCTTTAATTACATGTATTACTGATGAAAGCTAAACAGCATATTTTACTACCCATCCATCACGGAATAATAAAACCCTAAATAAAAATAACAAACATAGTTGACAATATCGGGGACTATTTCATTAAAAGAATAGACTGACATACAGAATGGTTTAACTTAGAGGCGAGCAGCGAGAGTAGTAAGCAGCTATCTACCCGCGACAGCTAAGAAGTAAATCTTCGATCACGTCTTGGATGGTATTAGCGTTTAACCATTTAAGACGTGAAGTGAATAGGCATGACAGTAGGAACGTGTTATGTGCTACGAAGACTGCAGTGGCGCCATTAAAGACTCTAGAGACGTAATAGGGTGATAGGGTGATAGTAAAGGGAAAAAAGGTCTTACAATGTTTTAAAGACTTAGAAGATGGTTTACTCATTTTTTAGGTTGATTTCGACCCAAAGAAATTCGACATGATCGTTGCCATGAATTCTGCCAACGGGGAAAAAGTTCAATTTGATAAGCCCGTGCATTGTAGCGGTGGCGTAGAAAAGTGGTTAAACTCCCTTTTGAACATGGTTAGAGATACTGTCAAAACTGTAATCGCAGTACAATGCCAATGTTTTAAAGAACCAGATTACGACTTCATTGCCGGATTTGTCGCTTTTTGCGGTCAGGTAAGTACCTATTACTCTTTAAACCTTGCAAAGAATCTAATAAATAGAGTACCTTTTAAGCGTTAAAAAATTGTGTTTTCTTACTTAGATAAAATGATATAATAATCCCAAAGGTATTCTCGACGCAGATAATTAACCTTTAAACATGTTTTTAAATATATTTAAGTATCAAACGGAAAACTGTCATTTTTTAAATTTATTTTTAAGGCTAGTCTCGTTGGAATACAAGTATTATGGACCAAAGAATCTGAAGATGCCATCAAAAAAGCAAAAGTAGATAAAAACGCAATGAGAATAACTAATGAGAGATTTCTGGAACTGTTAAATGAATTGATTAATTTAACGACGAAAGACATAACGAAATTGCAAAGAACCCAGTATGAAACTATGGTTACAATTCATGTCCACCAAAGGTGATTACCTAAGCCAAATGACAGGATAACACTTATAAAAGTTGGTTAATAATTCTTTTAACTATTGTAACTTTTTAGAGATATTTTTGACAACATATGTAGGCTAAGAATAAAAACTCTACTGGATTTTGAGTGGCAAGCACAAACCAGGTTCTATTATTCCGATGAAACTGATGACACTGATGTCAAAATCACAGATGTCATTTTTCTCTATCAATACGAGTACCTTGGTATTACGGAACGTCTAGCCATCACTCCACTAACCGATAGATGCTACATCACCTTGGCCCAAGCAATTTGTAAGTTCCTAATGTTAGATCATTAAATAGAAACGTACGAACCGAAAAAGTTAACATTAGTTCTAATATTTTTTAAACTTCGGGGTACCGAATGAATCAAAACTAGCTAATTTTACGACTCGATACAGTTTCGGCAACATAAGTTCGTCCGAGGTGGAGCCGTTGATTATATTAGATAAACTTTGAATAGCATTATCTTTAAAACCCCAGCGATAGCTTATAATTTTGGGAGAGTATTAAAGTTGATAATGTGATCTAAAAAATCTGAATTCGTGTATTGATTCTGTTTTTTTTTGCAAAGGCGTAAGTGGAAACTAGGCAAGGGGCAACTATAACATATAAAGTATTTTTACGATAAGAAGGGAGTGATGATAAAAGATTGGAATGGATATAAAAAACAATAAAATCTTGACTATAAAGCATGTTCAATAGTAATACGAAGTGTTTTAATATGCAAATGTTTTAAAATTGCAAATAATTTTGTAATTTTTATATGTAATTTTTATATGAAATAATACTAATATAAAAATATTCATAAAAATTCGAACAAGACAATTTTTTAATAATATATTTTTTAAATTATCACTAGGTTAGGTTAGGTTTAAAATGAGTGGGATGATCTCATCGCCTTCCACTGCGACCCAGATGGGTCTATTGTGGCTCATGACTAACTTATAGTTCACCGTACAAGCCACACCTTTTGATAAAGATCATGGTTGAATTGGGTGAGACTTCTTTAAAGTCGGCAGGCTTCAGTCGGGTAAATCCGAAGATCGGGAACCTGGTTCTTTCCAGAGCGGCGCAGGTACATAAAATGTGCTCTGCAGACTCGTCCTTCACGCTGCAGAATCGACAGTCCGATGTTTGTTGCACACCTATCCTTCTCATGTGGTTGCCCAGAACGACAGTGTCCTGTCATCAGTCCAGTGAAAATGCGTAGATCTCTCCAACTCCATTCTTGGATCTGAGCAGAGTCGTTCATAGAAGGGTTGGAGCCGTCCGAGTACAATGCATAGTCTGCCTGGGAGAGGGTTCTATGTGCTGTCGGGGAACTAGCGAGTCCGAAACCATGCCGAGAATGAGGTGGTTATTAATTTCACTCATCAGCCTTATCTTATCCCATCGCAGTTTTTCGTAACATTACTACCCACCTTCAGGAGCATGTATGAGACCATCCTTTTTTAGCAGAATGTGGAGAGGGGTTAGGTCCTCCATGGCTCCCGTAGGTGTGGTTGACATTGCTCCAGTTATGGCGAGGCACGCAAGCCGTTGTATTTCAGCCGTCCGTGGAAGTCCCTTGTCATACCAGCCGACAGAGCCGTACGTAACCATGGGTTTTACCACTGTTTGGTAAATCCAGTAGATCAGTTGAGGACTGATCCCCCATGCTTTTCCGCATATCCTTCTAAGGATACAGAGGGATAATCTGGCTTTGTTCTAATAATATAAGCGAAATCGAAAATCTGGCAACATTGCAAATATCAAATCTGGAATCTCCGTATCCCAAAATAGGTGTACTCCAAATGTTGTACAATTAGGACTAGCAATTTACGAGATAATTGGCCGTTTCCAGACTTCGTATATCTACAATGAAAAAATAAAGCGTTATACTAAAAATTTAGCAATATATCTAAATTACATTATCACTAATAAAAAAAAAAAAAGGAAAATCGTATTACCTATAAAGAAAATACCAAATTTTGGGTTTTCTCACACTTCTCTTATCAGTCTTGCCAGGAAAGTTCAACTGTACCATCTTTAAAAAGCCATGTCTCATCCAAAAAACAAAATGATATAGGCCTTTCCTTTTGATTTTAATATATTGTAAAAAATGTACACTTTTAAAAGCAATATGTGGTAACTCAATTAAACCATGCCATGGAACATCTTACTTGTATTTAAAACCAATTTTTTTTTTAATTTTCCATAGGAATGATATATGTATAACCACTGAAGAGTTCTCGCTCCTGAAGTTTTTGTTTTAATGTTTGTAAGATTGTGTTCACAAAATGTAGATCCTTCCAAAAATGCTTTCGCCGTATAATCTATATTCAAATTTGAACCAGATCGTAAGATTCGCCCATGTATGTCGAAACTTGTACATAACAAGCTCCACAAATATTTTGGCACTTTCTTCTGTTCACCATTTTATATTAAAAAATCAGATTCTATTTCTTAACAGTGTGGCGGAAATTTTGATAAGGACCTGTGTGGTGGGGTATTACATACCCCAAAAGCAAAAAAACAAAAAAATCATACATTATTTTTTTGAAGTTTTTCATTTTTTTGGGTTATTTAGGCAGTATTGAATAAGGACTTATTTTTAAAAAGATGTTTATTAAGAAAGAACATCATAAAAAAACATAATTCATAAATACGGCATTTTCAACAAAAAAAAATCACTCAGATCAATAACATAGTCTAAGTTTTAGAAAAATAAAAAAATAATAAGAAAAATATAGTTTTCTTACAGTAAAAATATAAGTCAAACAACTAAAAGAAACAAAGTTGAGTTTATTCATTTCTGCTAAGGCTACAGGCGTCGCAAAAAACTACTGAATGCTCCATGCAAATTGCCGTCCTACAGCCAGCACAGCTATAGAACGTCTTCCTGTCTATTTTTCTTGAGCATATTTTGCACCAGGTAGTTCTTCATTTTCTGGTAGAGGCCCTTTGTTTGTAATTTACGCGGAAGCCGTTTATTGGTTGATCTGCGTTCCTTGTGCTCAGTCAATAACTGAATTGCTAAGGTTTTCAAAAATTTTCTTTTTTTTTTCTTAGCAGTATTGCCACTATTTAAAGTAAAAATAATTCTATCGTTTATTCCTGCGGAGTTGAGAATAGTGTAGAAAAGAGTCAGTGGCCATCTTTTACTATTGCGTGACACGTCGTATGCGAATTTCTATTTTTCTCTTTTCACCAGTTTCTTCATCAATTTCTGGAGTATGATGCAAAGTGGACATGAGAAGAACCACCTTTCCTTTTTTTGGGAACATGTGATATCAAGGTTACGTCTTTCTGGAAGCCGAATTTCGAAGAACATTCCGGTCTATCTTTAGACATAAGAAAGCTCGCAGGTATGTTTTTTTATTTTTTCTAACAGTTGCAACTGACGTTAGCTGATGTTCTTGTAAAAGCTGCAGCATAAGCTCGTAACTGGTGAACCAGTTGTCGAATGTTACATTCCGTTTTGTACCGGAAATAGGAGCTATTATATAGGAGCTATAATTCTAAATTAGGGACGTATTAGGACTTTGCATCTACTAAAGCAAATACTTTCAACCCATAGCGAGCTGGCTTATTTGGCATGTACTAGCACAGCGCCCCCTAAAAGCTTCTAGCTCCTGATGCCTTGGTAGGATTCCCCACTCGCCCATTCACTGTTGGGTACTAATTAACAGTGGTTTTCCTAAAGAGGCGCTGGGAAACAGTAACAAAGCCTACACAGAACACGAGGCTAATAACCATAGCAGTTGATGCCGATGACACAAAAAAGCTTCTAGCTTTTCATATAATAGTAAGATACTCGCTAGGTGTATACAAATTTTGAGAGTTATATTCGAATTGATTAAAAACTGCCCTAATCGCAGCCATTTTGTCAATTTTTCTTCTTTCTCCTCGGTTTTCTATATTGTCGAAACGTAAACAGGCCTGCAGAAAGATAAACCTTTGTAGAGACATTGTTTCTCTAAACAAACTTATCCCCGTACCATCTGTTGACCATAGATCTTCAAGATTAAGTCTAGCAGATTTGATAATACTCCTGACAAATAAAGTAGGCCAAATAATGCTCTTATCTCACACGCATCTGTTTCCTTGAAAATATATTGATGATTTTCGTCATAAGAGGCAGATTTCCTTCTTATTTTTACATTTGTCCACATGACGATATCATTTATCATATCTGGAGTAATAAGTAAATCGAAGCACTCAACTAGAGTTTTAGCGTCTTTAGCCATTCTTTTTAGCCCGGGCAAATGGGTGATAATATTTTCAGAGCATGTCCTTACATTTTTAGGGAAATGATTTGCAGACCATCTGGTACCATCCTTTCCTAGATACAATCTTGAGCTTGCTTCATTTTGTTCACTTTGTGCATCTTCATTCTGATTGACTATTTGGATATCTTCTCTCTGATTTTTGTTCACCTTGTACGTCTTCATTTTCAGTACCAATCTGGCCATCATCTGCGTCTTCTTCGCTTTCAGAACTGTGATTGCTGAGCTCTTCATGGGATTCTTCGTCACTCTCTGGGCCAATAGCAACTTCTTCTTCTTCTTGAATATCTTGCCACATAGACAATAGTCGCTTCTGTTCACTCTCATAAGAACCAGCCATGATAAAACTAAAACAAAAATGTAGATTAAATGTAAAATTACAAATATTTTGAACTGTTTCCTACTCTACCAAGACGACTTTTTCCTTCCTTTTGCAAAATTTTTGCAAATTCTTGGAAAGTTTCATTATAATTAAATTTAATCATTAGTTCAGATACTAATGTTTCTAGAGAAAGAGACTTTCTTTCTTTCCTCCATGCTAAAAACAGACTAAAAATTCTCTCTTATCGCGTCAATTTTAGTCTTTAAAATTTAGTGGTGGATTTTCTAAATATGATGATAACTTTACATATTCTTCTAAAAGTAGGTCAATATCTACACCAATGGTAAACTCATCAGCAATTTTTATGAAATCGTCCAATTTAGGGTTTGTTTTCAAATCCATCGCCCCCAGACATATAAAAGATGGCGCTTGTAGAGATTACGACGTTTGTAGATATGGGCCGAATAACCGATAATTTTTTAAATTAGGAGATTTCTGAAAAATCGGGAGGTTTATAGCTTATTTTAGTGGGAGGGGGTGAGAAATCGGGAGGCTCCCTCCTAAATTAAAAGGTAATTTTTCTCTAAAGTATACAACATTTAAATTTGTTTTTGAAGGCAGATAATGATACCAGTAGTTATAGTGAACACAGTAACTTTTAAAGACAGTTCTCGAACTTTTTATTTTTTTAATCTTTGACTTTAGGTACTGATATGTTACTTTTAATGCCAAGAGGGTAAAAAAAGTTTAACATCATTAACAACATAATCCTCCTTGTTTTTTATTAGTTAAATTTAATTCGTTCAATATTAAAGTGCAACAATTTTGTCAGAAGCATAAGGTTTTTTATAAATAATTTAACTTTGTTCATTGAAAATTTATATTTTATATGCCGTGACCTTATTTATATTATAGAAACTCATTTTGCAAAGTACACCTATGGAATATAATATCCCCAGGTTTACTGCACTCCTCTTTTATTCAGACTATAGTTTCGATTCATTCGGTACTAAATCTAATTAAAGCCTATGTTAAAACACCTAAAATCCTCAGAATTAAAATCACACCTAGAAATTTATAAAGTCTAGAATAGTAACTAGCATTGTCAGTTATATTTATACGAGGGTGGATCAATAAGTACCCGTGTTTGAAAGCAGGTGGCGTTGCTGCATTACTGTCACACGACACCATACTAAATTTCAGACTGATTCATAGGATGGTTTTTATTTAGCAGCCACTTGTACCATACGTGTTTCGCATTAATCGATAAAATGGAAAAAGAACAATATCGATCCGTAATTCGCTTTTTATTTTTGGATGGAAAAGCATACGATGAAATAAAAGCAAAGTTGGATGCTGTCTATGGGGATCCTTCACCATCTATGACAACTATAATATATTGGTTCCACGAATTTAAACGTGGTCGTACATCTGTTTTTGATGAGGAGCGACCAGGTCGCCCGGCAGACGTTGTTACCGAGGAAATCGTTAAAAAGGTCCAAGACATGATTGTCGCAGATCGCCGAACGAGAAGTAGCAGAGGCCGTAGGCTTATCATACGGAACGGCAATTAATATGTTGCATGAGAAAGGTATCGGCCCAATGGGTGCCGCGATTGCTTACGGTGGACAACAAGCGGATACGGCTGTCAATGTCGAAGCAGTTTGGAGCTCTTTAATCGAAATTCGCAGGAGTTTTTGCGTCGAGTCGTCATCGTTGATGAAACCTAGATACATTATTATACGCCACGGACCAAACGACAGACGAAGCAATAGATTTTTCGGGGTGAATCTGCTCCGAAGAAAGCAAAGATGGTCCCATCAGCCGGAAAGATCATGGCCACTATTTTTTGGGATTCCAAGGGAATAATCCCCATCGACTTTTTGCAGAAAGTAAGTACGATCACAGGGCAGTACTAAAGTGAAATTGGACCAATTCGATGCAAAATTAAAGGAGACACGGCCTCATTTGGCTAAGAAAAAAGTCCTGTTTCACCACGATAACGCACCAGCACATTCATCGAGAATTGTCGCTGTCAAATTGCAAGAACGGCATTATGAATTGCTACCGCACCCACCGTACTCGCCCGACTTGGCTCCATGTGACTTTTTTCTACTCTCCAACATGAAAACGTGGCTCGGGGAAAAAAAATTCAGCTCTAACGAGGAGGTGATCGTCGAGACTGAAGCGTATTTTGTGGAGTTCGAGAAATCATATTTTTTGGAGGGGTTAAATTAATGGCAGAAACGTTGGGAAAATTGTATAGCACTAAAAGGAGATTACGTTGAAAAATAGTAATATTTTTTTTTGAAAAACTTGCCTTTTCCTTTCTAACACGGCTACTTTATGATCCACCCTCGTATTCCGATTGATCTTCTAGATTATGTATAAAATTCGTTTTAACCCATTTTTCATCCACAATGTTTTCAATCTGTAGCTTTGTAACTTCATTGCGATACATTATAATTTTTTTCTCAAACATACGTTGATTTAAGGGATCAATATGGGTGGCGCACCAGCAGGTCCAGCTGGCACAGGTAAGACTGAAACTACCAAAGATATGGGTAGAACTTTGGGAAAGTTCGTTGTGGTCTTCAACTGCTCGGATCAAATGGATTTCAGAGGTTTAGGGCGTATTTTTAAGGTAAGTCGTCAAAATTTAGACTTTTATATTTTATACTTTTATATTTGTCAGAATATTCAGGGTTCTCATAAAATTATGGTTCAATTGGTTGAAGTATATTTAAAAATCACCAGATAACATATGGTGTGTAGGAAAGTAGCTTCCTGTTATGTTTTTGATCATAAAAAGCTTTTAGAAAATATTCTTATCCCTGGACGTCTTCTTCTTACTTTCTTTTTACACTCTTCTTACTTTTTCTTTACATTCTTCTTACTTCCTTACATTCTTGTTACTTTCTTACTTTCTTTTTACTTTTCTTACTTTCTTTTTACTTTCTTCTTACTTTCTTTTTAATATATTCTTACTTTCTTCTTACATTCTTCCAGCATATATTACAATCTTATGTCGTACATTTGTCTTACATTCTTCCCACATATATTACATTCTTAGATTTTCCTAACATTCGTCTTACATTCTTCTTACATTCTTCTTATATTCTTCTTATATTCTTCTTACATTCTTACATTCTTACATTCTTACATTCTTACATTCTTACATTCTTACATTCTTACATTCTTACATTCTTACATTCTTACATTCTTACATTCTTACATTCTTACATTCTTACATTCTTACATTCTTACATTCTTACATTCTTACATTCTTACATTCTTACATTCTTACATTCTTACATTCTTACATTCTTACATTCTTACATTCTTACATTCTTACATTCTTACATTCTTACATTCTTACATTCTTACATTCTTACATTCTTACATTCTTACATTCTTACATTCTTACATTCTTACATTCTTACATACTTACATACTTACATTCTTACATTCTTACATTCTTACATTCTTACATTCTTCTTACATTCTTCTTACATTCTTCTTACATTCTTCTTACATTCTTCTTACATTCTTCTTACATTCTTCTTACATTCTTCTTACATTCTTCTTACATTCTTCTTACATTCTTCTTACATTCTTCTTACATTCTTCTTACATTCTTCTTACATTCTTCTTACATTCTTCTTACATTCTTCTTACATTCTTCTTACATTCTTCTTACATTCTTCTTACATTCTTCTTACATTCTTCTTACATTCTTCTTACATTCTTCTTACATTCTTCTTACATTCTTCTTACATTCTTCTTACATTCTTCTTACATTCTTCTTACATTCTTCTTACATTCTTCTTACATTCTTCTTACATTCTTCTTACATTCTTCTTACATTCTTCTTACATTCTTCTTACATTCTTCTTACATTCTTCTTACATTCTTCTTACATTCTTCTTACATTCTTCTTACATTCTTCTTACATTCTTCTTACATTCTTCTTACATTCTTCTTACATTCTTCTTACATTCTTCTTACATTCTTCTTACATTCTTCTTACATTCTTCTTACATTCTTCTTACATTCTTCTTACATTCTTCTTACATTCTTCTTACAGGTTTTGACGAAGAGTGAACTGGATGATTTGTATTATTTCTTTCTAGACAGGTTTAGCATGTTTAACCATGTCGAAGGTTATTAGATCATGGTCTAACCTTTTAAATATATTTACCGTGGTAAAATTAACGATTTTACACTCTTTGCTTGACCAGAGTAGACCTGGCTACAAACTCAAACATTAGATGTTTATTCAAGCTATTTTCAGGGTCTAGCCCAATCTGGAACATGGGGATGCTTTGATGAATTCAACAGGATTGAATTGCCCGTACTGTCTGTAGCTGCCCAACAGATTTATATTGTGCTGACTGCAAGAAAAGAAAGGAAAACAGTTTTCATTTTTATGTAAGAACATCTTTCTGCACAAACTAATGTATCTTGAACTGTTATTTTCTTATAGGGATGGAGATAGTGTTTCTATGAACATAGAATTCGGTATTTTCCTAACTATGAATCCAGGCTATGCTGGAAGACAGGAATTGCCCGAAAATTTAAAAATTATGTTTAGAAGCGTCGCCATGATGGTGCCAGATAGGCAGATCATCATCCGTGTGAAGTTGGCTTCGTGTGGTTTTAAGGAGAATGTCTTTTTGTCGAAGAAATTTTACACTTTATATCAATTGTGCGAGGAACAATTATCCTCACAAGTAAAATAATTTTTAGATTATTCGATATTTAGTTTTGTTACTTTTTCAACTTTTAGGTTCACTACGATTTCGGTCTTCGAAATATTTTATCGGTACTCAGAACCCTCGGTGCTCAGAAAAGGGCTAACCCACTTGAGACCGAAGAAGTGGTGGTGCAAAGAGTTTTAAGGTACGCTTAAAAAATCGTCACGTTATCTATTTATTCAACCATTAGCTGAAAAATTTGTAAATATTTCTAAAGTCCTCTTTTAGAGATGTGACAATGTTAATAATATTTGACGTTAAACTTAGAGTGAGAAAGCAAAGATTCATTATTGTTACATATTAAATGTAAATATTTTCAGAGGTATGAATTTAAGTAAGTTGATTGATGAAGACGAACCTTTATTCTTATCTCTGATTGACGACATGTTTCCTGGAATCAAGCTGGTTCAGAAAACGTGGAAGGATTTGCAGAAGGCCATTACTAAAGTTTGCACTGAATTAGCCCTAATTAATCATCCTGCTTGGAATTTGAAAATTGTTCAACTTTATGAAACTGCACTGGTCAGACACGGCCTCATGGTTTTAGGTAAGCGCCACTTCTTGGATTTTGGTTATTTTATTGATTTGTACCATTTAAAAATTCGCTGTACAAAACGATTTAAATTTTAAATTCAATAAATGATTATGTATTATTCAAATCGACGGTTGGCAGAGGTATAAGAGTTTTTAAAGGTTACCGATTGTGTATAAAAGTATAAATAAAGTTAATATCAGCAGTTTGAACAAATAAAATACAATAAACTTAAATTTGAAAATTAGGCTAGTCGCGTCGTCACGATCAATGGCGACCTCTATCGAGATATGATAACGTACTTTTTGTGGCAAGAATTGGATGATATCTCGATCAGGTCTGGTTTTTACACGACAGCGTAACTTGATATACCGCCGCGGCCACCATCAATCTTTTGCGCACAAAATTTAATAATCGTGTAATTAGCCGTTTCGATATTAATTGGCTACCTCGGAGCAGCGATTTAACACCACTCGAAGGATAAAGTTTGTGCGAAAAATCTTTAAACAATTAAGCACTTAAAAGAGAACATTTAAGCAAACTGTTGAAAAAGTGCTTGAAAATTGGTGTTCCAGGATGGGCTACTGCCAAGCCAGTCGATGTGGCCACTTAAATGAAATAATTTTCCATACTTAATCGAAAGAAATATTGTATTAAAGCTAAATTTGTTGGAAAAAAATTTTTTTCTTGTCCTCATTGCTAATTTATAATTCAACATATAAATGGCCCACCCGTTATAAAGTCGCCACTAACTGCTGCCCTTAAACAACCACAATTAAGGACAGACAATCTTTAATAAAGTCAGTTCTAGAAGCTAAACGATCTGCGTATGCTCAGATGTCAAAATAAGAGCGGCGCTAATAGTGACTGGCATTAAGTGAACTTGCAATAACTCTCTATTAACTTTAAGGTCTGTGTAGTGCTGGATATTTACAGGGGACAAGTCGGATAGAAATGCTCATTTGGCTGCTTGATCAGCTAGCTTGTTCCCGATAATTCCTTTATAGGATCGTACTCAGGTTAGCGTTATGAATATACTTCTGGTAGCGAGTTCATGGCAGGTCTGATGTATGATTTGCACTATAGAATGTTGTGAAAAGAGATATCCTTAATAGATTTGATGGCAGAAAGTGAATCTGTGCATATCGCCACTTGTTGGTATTGATCCATACGGGTTTTTGAAAGCTTCAGATAATACAAATAGTTCTCCGGCGTGGACACTTCACAAAAGAGTTTAAATTCATTAGTTCCAGGAATCCTTGCCTTAGAACTTCATTGGGTGTTTTACACTTATCGTATTCACTTACAAGAAAAGAGTGTTTATATTTGAGAGCTTTTTAAGCAATGTTAGGATGTTTAAAAGAATGATGTGGTGGGTAGCTAGTAAGTTATAGTTTTCTATTAATGGTTTTAGAATACGTGCTACTGAACGCATGGTTATAGGAGAATTTTTGTTTGCTGCTTGAGTTTGTATGCAGGGTTTCTTTGATTTGCCGACAAGCAGAGTAAGAAAGAAGGTGCTTTATATATAAAGAATACCAAGAAGATTCGATATGAAGACTTTCGGATGGGCTTGATCTAAAGATTCCAAGACATATTCGCATTACAGTGTTAGGGATTGAATTGAGGGATTTTATGCTGGATTTGGAGACGCTCATGTAAATAATGCTACCATAATCCATTCTAGATCTAATTATTAACCATGGAGTCTACCATAAAAAAACAAATTAGACAAGGTATGCTAACCAACGATTAAAGGATATCCACAACAGATCTGAAAAGGTAGAGGAGGGGAAAACTACATGGCACACATTCCTAATCCAAACGAAATCTAATCTAGTTATTTACCTGTAGATTTTAAGAAAAACTTGTTGATCAGCTACTCAATGATGGTTAGGAGGTTCGTCCTCTTTAAACAGTTGCTCTTCGTTTCCTGTATATGATGTCTTCCTGTAAGCCTTTCATTGAATATTACTCCTAACAATTTTGTGATGCCCTCCTTCTATTAAATAAACCTAGACCACAACGAATATTTTGTTCTATGATCTCGAAATTAAACATCTACGGGTAAATTTCATCAATGAAAATTGGTAAATAAATTTAAAAGTATTAAATTTTACTAGGTTAGAACCTAGGCGGACTATTTTAGATTAATGTTGCCAACCAAAATAAACAAGATTATTTATCTAGTGTTTATATTATCAAAGAATGAACCCTCGTAGTATAGCGCTTGACAGTGGCGACTCGTGACTTTACATGGCACTAAAGTCAATCATATTTCTAAAACTACAGGGTGTTTCCGAACTTGGCATCCAAATTTGTAGGGGTGGTAGTTCGCATAATTTGAGAGCGATTGGCAGATTTCATTTTTCTAAAAAAAATATAATAACCAAAATAGAGCCATTATAAAAAAAATCAAAGAGCAGGTCCTACCCTGAGTCCTCAAAAACAGATGCGATTTGCAATTTTGTCGATTCTAAGCGTAGCGCGCGCGAGTCGAGGCGATCCTACCGCTCTACAGGACCGTCCCTGTTTATAATTTTTAATTATTTTTATTTTAAATATTTTGGAAAAATGAAATCTGCGAATCGGTCGCAAATTATGTGAACTACCACCCCTACAAATTTGGACGCCAAGTTTGGAAACATCCTGTATATACTGACGAAAATCGGTATGTAACTTTTGAGGCTACTTGTTTCCTTCCTTTCAGGTCCAACTGGTGCAGGAAAAACCAAATGCATGATCGGTTTAATGAAATCGCTGACAGAAATGGGAATGCCCCACAGGGAACTTAGGATGAATCCTAAAGTACAATATTTATTGTACCAAAAAACTAGAATGTTTATTATATTCATATTTTAGGCCATTACAGCTCCGCAAATGTTTGGGAGACTAGATGTCGCTACTAATGATTGGACAGATGGAATATTCTCGACTTTGTGGAGAAGAACTTTGAAATTTAAACAAACTGAATTTTGTTGGTAAAGAACCTTTTTCTATAAATTTACACTATCGTTGACGTAAAAGAATAATATGCCTTGTTTATACTATGTAGAACTTATAAAAATAATCAAAATCTGCTGCAACAAAAACGTGATGTTCTTTTTAGGTTAGTTTTGGATGGACCAGTGGACGCTGTATGGATAGAAAACTTGAACTCTGTCTTAGACGATAATAAAACATTGACATTAGCCAATGGCGATCGTATAGTAATGGCTGGAAACTGCAAACTTGTGTTTGAGCCTGATAATGTTGACAATGCCAGTCCGGCTACTGTTTCGCGAATGGGTATGGTTTTCATGAGCTCTTCTGTACTTCCCTGGTGAGTAAATTTACTCATTGATGGCATCTTACTTTGCTTCGTCTTCTCTCATCTTTTCAACGTGTCTTTTTATGCAAAAGGGGAGTTATATAAAATGAGTATCCAGTTTGTATTTTTAAATTTATGGAATACGGTGTATTAAATTTTGAATACGGTGTATTAAATTTTGAATACGGTGTATTATTAATTGATTTATTGTCAATTATATCTTAAAAAAGAGGAAACGGAAACTATTACGCTTTCACAACAGGGAAATGAACTGTTCTGTGTATCGAATGTATGACAACTACTAGTGTGTTGACAATTTTTTTAGGTCATATAATTACGCAGTCAGAACTGTTCAACATTTAATTTATATTACACATTTTAGGAGGCCGATTTTAGAAGCTTGGCTCAAGACACGAAACTCTACAGAAGCCGAGCACATTAGACACCAGTTCAACAGATGCTACGACGAGTATTATAGTTTCGTAATAGCTAGACTGAAAGCAAAGATGTTTATAAGAGAAGCTGTTTACATAAGACAGTGCTACGATGTTCTTCAAGGTCTTCTGGATATCTTTGATGAACCAAGTAGGTTTATTTTACCTTTAACAACAAATAATACCCATGTGCTATATTATACCTTGCCTTAAGAGCCCATTTATAGTAATTGGTAACAGTGACCCTGTGACGTTATCTATGGCTATTACGTCAACTATTACCACTAGTACTAGAGAAGCTTACAACCGTTTGTTTTTCACTTATAAATGACCAACATGACATTAAAGGAGCTTAGGTGATTTAAAATAACTTTCATTGCAGAGGTTTGGACAGAAAAGCAAATAGAACGTATGGTTCTGTTTTCGATAATGTGGTCAGTCGGAGCCGTACTGGAATTGGACGACAGGCAAAAACTAGAAGAGTATGTCGTTACGCACAAATCAAAAATGGACTGGCCCAAAGTGTCGGGCCAGGAAACCATTTTCGAATTTGTGGTTAATCCAGAAACTGGCAAATGGGAGCACTGGAACGTGAGGTACAGTAAATAAACTTATCTATTGTAATGAACCTATTTTTTGTCATTACAATACTCTTTAAAATTAATTATTTTAATGCAAAATGCTCGAGTCACCCTGTATATTAATTTCGATATAAAGATGTATCTAGGCTCCTCTCCGAAATATATTTTGGCTTTGGTGGGAATGTCCAGAGGGTACCTAACGTCGAGCTAATTTGAAAAGGATAATTCAGTTGCTATCAGTACAAGTTCCGTGGTAAATCGAATAACCAAGACCCAGTCAGCCGATCCACCGTAAATTTTTCGATAGAAGCGCGCGCGAACACGCGTTTTTCGGGCAATTTTTGTGCGTCTAGGACACTTGCGACAACGCTAGCTGCCAAAACGCCATAGTAATAGTTTGTGTGTGAGGCGCATAAAGGCAGCAGGTAGTGGCGACTTTATAACTTTCGGGTGCGCTCGCCGACATTCGAATCCGTTCGAAGTTTTTTAATATTAAATATTTAATATAATCGTCATCTAAACCTTCTAAAATTATAATTTCTAATTTTATGTACTATTATAGACAGGGATTCTAATGTCAAAATTTCAGGTTTGCAATAAGTCTGATTTTAGCATGGAATTTATTTGACTCTAATTACGATGTCACTATTAGTGGCTTGCGTTATAGAAATTTGCAATATCTCTATATTATGTGACGCAACTCAGTCGCGCTGCTAATTGGCGTGTACGGGCCACATAGTGGCGACCACTGATCGTTCGTGTGGACGTGCTAGCTACTGAGTAGCGCGATTCCATGGTAGGCTTATGTTGGAAGGTAATTTGCTAGTGTCATTATGGACTTAGACTCAGACGAGGAAGTACTCATTCTAGCAATACTTACATGTCTTGTTCTTTACACCAGAATCCATTACTTTAAAATATTCTATGAAAATTTTACAAATTTCCTATTCTTATCAATTGATGTTCCAAACCGCAGGACGTTGTTCTATTTCGACTATAAATTGAATCGCATCGAACGCTATATTACTCAATACTGAACCCCGATAATCAAAATAAAATATCTCTACCAATGTTAGTAGAATTTGACGATACAGTCGACGACAAAACTAGGTACCTATCCTCGACTAGTGCGTTTAAGCGTATGCTTTGAAGAGTTGCAAGTGGTTCAATGCGAAGACGCATTAGAAATCGTATTCTTAACCCTTCGTATCTGTCCCTTCGCGTTCCTCTTTTATAAATGCGAATGGCCACTTGGCAACCATGTATGATCGACAAACATTTATGTTAAATTGTCTGCTGGAATGGGGAGTCAAAGTTCACACCGCTTGTTTAGTGACAATTATTCTTAAAAAAATGAAATAGTAATATTAGTAATGGTTTTAAACATGAAGTTGTGGTTTTAGGTTATGTTTTTTAAATTACTGTTTGGCTATAAATAGTTTGCTGCGTTATAAAATGAAAAAATATTAATAGAAAGACACATATAATGAACTATAATTCTATAATTAACCGAAACAATCTGATGAACGCTTGATCAGAAGGTCTGAAATGATCTTTCCTATTATCATAAACTCTTCGAGGATAATTATTGGCCTCTTATTTAAAAAAATTCTATTTGCCATTATACATATAGGTCACGATCAATTTATGAAACAAAACGAAAACATTTTGGAATACTAAAACGTGCATCCAGTTAGACCTTCGCAAGCTCTTTGGACCTTAGTATGTTAATGCGCAGAGCAAAGACCCACTCGCTGTCAAATGCAAATGAGCACCCACAATATAAATTCTAACGACCAAGAATAGCTACAACACGCATTTGAGCAAATACGCATTCGCATTTAGTAAATGCGCATTCGCATTGATTAAAGCACCAGTCAAGGATAGGTGCCCTGGCCCGTGTGGACGGTTCTATCGACTAAGTATCGGCACCAGTGTTGCCAGTCTAGTACAATCGTACTAGATCTATTACAATTTCTAAGAATCTGGTACCCTTGTACACTCGAAGGAAAATCTACTACCTTTTTCTTTTTCAACGGGTTACCATTTGACGCGTATAAAATATATGTCATTCAGGTTTATAATGCAAGAATGAGCCGGAAATATTCGATGGTTATTTTTAATTTTGGTAAGACGGAGAATACAATTGGAGCATAATTCTTGAGATATACCTCCAACAACTTCTCTGATAACATCTAAAACGGTTTCAGACAACGCAGGATTATTTTTTTTACTTCCCTTTTGATATTGCTCCAAATTAAATGGTAAATGGTAAATGTATTACAGTATGAAGAAATGCCGTAGCCATTTAATCCACAACATAGCTAGGTTTGAGATTTAAGCCTTTCACTATTAAAAAGAAAATCTTTCTTTTAACTGTAGATGGATATGATACACACCAAAAACGCAGAAACTACCTCTTTTTGAGCTTTCGCTTCTGAAATTTCACTAGTTTGACGAGAGTGGTAAGGAGTAGTATTATCCATTACTATAACAGCATTTGGTAGTAAATTAGGAATTAATTTTTCACCAAACCATTTCTCGAACAAGGTAGATGTCATAATATTGGTGATAATCTGCTGAACAACTTAAAATATCCTTTGCTGATAATTAACAATTCCACACAAAACCGTTTTCATTACCGGAATGTAATATTATAATACATTTTCCTCTTCAGCATTCACAGAACATTTAGCAGATTGATCACTCCATTATTTTTTCACAATATCTTGAATGTCGTACCAAGTCTCATCAAGATACACTATGAATCTATCTTGTCGAGCTTCATCTACTTTAGTAACGTATTCATTACGTAAAATCCTAATTCTTTAGATTCCCTAACATAATGTCTGCTATTTAAGGTAGGATATCTAAAACTCAAAGAATGGGCACTTTTCTAGTGGTTTTGTCAGATTTGTAAGGAAACCGGAAACCAACTTCATTTAATTTTTAATCTTTTGCAGTGGTCTTAGTGGTCTAGATCAACTACAGATTTTTGATTCTGCTTTTTTCTTGGAAGACATTCCTGGCTCGTAATAACTTTTCTAATCGAAGGTTCTGAAATTTTTGTCAAATGTGTATTATTTCTATTTTAATTGCTGGCACATATTTCGAATAACTTTTTGAATGGGGTGTAATCTACATATCCTTCTCCAATTCTTCTTTATTCTCAGAAGAAACTTTGATGGGTTCTGCCTAGAATTATGTAGGGTCACTTGGGGTAATAGCACGTTGTTTGGGGTAAATATAATAATAAAAATCTAAATAACAATATTCTAAACAATAACACGAAAATGTTCAAATTTATTTACTTTTTTAATAAAGTATTCTCGTACAGATTTTATATTTTTTACATTTTCTCAATAATATTTGACCCCTAGTTTTAAGCCAAAAATCAACATTTTCCACTATAGAATTTGCAGGTAAAATATAACCTTTTCTTTGTGAATCACTCTGTATAGGTAAACAATAATTTAAACTGCCAAAGCCAACTTTAAACTGTTTCAATTTTACAATTTATGTGGGTATTTAAATATCAATTTAGTTATTTTTGAGGTGCAACTGATCCTATTTATTTGAAAAATAGTCAATCAAAATTATAATTATTTACGTACCTTCAGGGATTACATTATTTTCATCTCCAAAAAGCCATATTTTTATAAACCAAAAATACAAACAGTAATGTGAATACAACACGCATAGAAGCGTGCCTAATAACCAATTAGAACATAAGTTGAACAAAATCACAGAATTACTATTGGATATCCCAGTCCAGATTGACCGACTTTTCATACGGATTATCGTGAAATAGAAATTTCAGAAAGGCTCGATTTGATCAATTGGAGATGCTAAAATCAAGGTGTTATAATTAATCGAGCCGACTGATTCTCATCGTACAGCGATGCCAAATAATTATTTGATACTCGCTTTCAGCATATTTGCTCAAAGGTACTGTGCGCTTAACGTACACAGTCGTTTAGCAGTAACAGAATTTAACGCATCACTTTATTTTTGCAGTTTGACAACTGTGTCTAAGCTGAACGTCGGCGGTGTCTTTGTAAATTATATATAGATATATTAATAATACTGATATTTAATTGTGGAATAGTAAAATTTATTTGTGCCGTCTACTATACATTTTAAAATTTAATTGAATGGCAGTCGTTTAACAGTAACTGCCACGAAGTGGCGGTACTAACACCTGATCGCCAGGGATTCGCCAGAGATTCATCTCGGCGTATCACCAGGGATCCGCTGTCGAAAGCCCGAAAAGGTGGCGACATCTCTCGCATGTTATTCATGAATCATTTCTTAAAACTCAAAAAACAATGAACGAATATTAAATTTGCGAGAAATGACATGTCGGTGACAATCTCCAGCAAGTTCGCCACCTTCTCGGGCTTTCGCCAGCTGCTGTATCGCCGAGATGAATCTATGGCGAATCGCTGGCGATCGACTAAGCATACGACTGACTGTGTCGCCTCCGAGTGGCTCGTCTGGACGGGCCCTTAAGCGGGTTTTACTTTAATTTCTTTATATGTGGAATTTTTTGCGGCCAACAAACCAAGTAATTATTATCTCCTGGATTTGATGTTGTCGCTTCGATGTTTGATAGTCGAATTAGTGACCGAAAGTATATTCCATGTCTTTTGCTAAATCCCCACCAGCGTAGAAGGAATCGACATGTTCACAGGTCGATTTAAAATATAGGGTAATTTGATGTACAATTGAATCAAACAAACATTTTGCATTTGGAAAATTAAATTAATTTTAAGAGATAATAAGAAATAGGTTATTTACAATAAAATTAGATCAGAGTAAAACCAGTCGTTTCAAGTAAATAAAAAAAAATTATTGCAGGATATTAATTTGTCTCCTGCCTATTTGATCATTAATTTGTTATTCCGCTAGGGTTGAACCGTTTGAATATCCTCCAGATCAGGTACTTGATTACATCAATATTTTGGTACCCAACGTTGACAACGTCAGAACCGCGTTTTTAATACAAAACATCGCGAAGCAAGGCAAAGCAGTACTTCTAATTGGTAAGTTATAGTATTTATTTATACCTCTCTTACTGTCAAGGGTGCTCCAGGAAGGATGTCATGGCCCCTCCCGAAATTAAAAAATTAAATACATGTGTCTTCTATTAAAAAAATATGCTAAAAATAAAATGCCACGTTGTATACGCTTACATTTAAGACTCTTTCTTTGAATACAGTCATTCCATGATTAAGGGAGGATTTGGGTGCTGCAGCCTCCAGGCCCCAGCACGTAGGGGCCCTTTTAAATATGTAAAATGCTTTTACAATAATATTAAAAAAGTTTTTTATTTTCTATTATATATCGAATGGCTTAATAATATTTTACCTACCTTTTGCAGATATAGTCAATAATAATTATAAACTCTTGTTAGGCAATTCTTTTAAATCATAATCATAGTAGTTTTTTTTGTCATTTCTATGGCAACCTTTAAAAATAAATCACAACAATAGGCATACAAATAAATTTTTAATCAGCAAAAATTGATTCGTATTTTTAATGATTTTTACCTACTAAACGTGTGTAGATGTTTTTGAGTGATGTTAAGAGGAAGAAAATGTTTCCCGTTAACGATATATATCAAGATACATTTGAATATGTTATTATCTGGAAAACTTTAAGGGCAAACAAATTAGCGCTGTCATGCCTTATGTGATTTTTAATATAAAATATTTTTTTCAACCCCTTTGCTCAGGATTGAGATTGGCACAGGTGCCATATATTTGGTAAAGTACAATGACGCTAAAAATTTGCAGTTGGCGCTCTTGGGCTATGCGCTAGTTCAGTGATGATGTAATTATGGTTTCACTGACAATTAAAGTTTTAACATTAACGAGGCAAGTTCGTATTATGGAAAACTTTTTCCAACACATTACTGTTATTTTCCGTCTGTTATATTCTAATTTAACAGTTTTTCATCATACAAACTTGCCTCGTTACTGTTAAAACTTGGCCTAACATGTACGTTACGGATAACGTAAACGTTCAATCATAGCACCCATTGGGTCCTCCTTGAATTTGACTTATGAGACGGATGGCCGGTATAAAACACGGAGAAAAAATTAATAGAGCCTAATAAATGCTATAACACTGAGAAAAAATATTTAACAACAGTCATAAGACGAGGATATAAGAGATAAAAAATAAGTTGTATGGAAAATTACTAGATTCAAAAGCTCCGCGCTTTTTTCGAGCATGAGTAATGTGAAATTGTCGAATGATGGGAAAGGTGGATTGTCAGTTTTTTAAATAGCAAATAAAATACAATTTTATAAAAATAAAATATATTTTTAACTCGAAACGATTCGGCAAATAGCAAGAATCACAACTAAACTAGTTAAACTGGCAAGCTGGCAAGTTATTTATGTGGCAAGCGTGTTGAAATTGAAATGACAGTTGGCCGGGTTAACCCTCACCTCTGTGGCCTGTGGTTGTTATTCTCGGGTCCGACCTTCCTCCATGGGTCCGACTTCCAAGACAGCAACATCTTTGCTTTATTTCTTTACTTGCTCGACGCTTTTTATTTAAAATAAACAAGAGGTGTATTAAACCTGTTTATTATCCGTTATAAAGTTCTAGGCACTTATATTATTTCACCACGTAAAGTTATGTAATTTGAAGCAAAGTTTAATTTCATCATTACTAAATAAGTATCTGGCAATTGCTCAATATGAATTAACATTTTACAAGCTAACAAGTTTTACTACAACTCTTATTTCAATGACGAAGATTACATAATAAAAATAAATCGATAATGACTAGTAAGAGGATGTGCCAACATCCAAGAGCTTAGGCCTCAATGAACTACATATTTTTAAAGTAATATTAGGGTAGAAAACTACTTTGTTGTTTTGTATTTGTTTTTAGGAGAACCGGGTACTGCAAAGACTGTAATGATCAAAGGTTACTGTGGAAGTTTTGATCCAGAATTTAAATTATATAAAAGCTTCAGTTTTTCTTCTGCAACAACGCCAAATATGGTTCAGGTAAAATATTAAACACCACTGGTTTTTTTATTAAAAATGATATTTTTATGGGATTTGTTTAATTAAGCGGAGAAGTAACAAATTGACTATCATTGCCGACGTAAAGCTGAATCAATGAAACCAGACAAGGCAAAAAGTATTGACTGTTAAAAAGACAACAAAATGTAATGCAATGAAACGAAATTACATAAAGAGGCTTTAGAGAATCGAATTATAAACACAGTCAATTATCATATATCTCGACTAATTTTTCTCACTTCACTTTTCTTTTATTATAATAAGTCAATTAAAACTCTATTATATCAAAACTTACTGTTTTTCCAATAAATTCACATTTATTCAAATAAATGAGACTTGGCATTTTATAAAAATATGTTGTTTTGTTGCTTTTAGAGAATTGTAGAATCTTATATTGACAAACGGGTTGGCACGACTTATGGACCACCTGCCGGCAAAACTTTAACGATCTTCATTGACGATATTAGCATGCCTGTGATAAATGACTGGGGTGATCAAATTACTAATGAAATCGTAAGGCAATGCATGGAATCCGGAGGTAAGTATTACAAAAAAAAACACCTAATTAAATTAATCTAATTGAATTGGATTTTGTAGAAAGAATCTAAGTCATAAAATCTGCTGTTCGAAAAAAATCATGATTTCTATACTTTCCTTATCTATATACAGATAGGAAAGTAAAAATGCTAAATATCATTTTTATGTAAAACTTCATGCTTTACAATTTTTATCAAGAACTTTTTTTATAGCACCTACCGTTTTTAAATAAACTTAAAAAAACACTTTTTGTTTTTCGTCACTTGCCGGATCCTGAGAAACAATAGTTTATTATTCAACGAGCGGTAATGTAGGTCATAACTCACGCAGATGAAGTTTGCAGCACGAGCAATAGGCGATTGTTAAAAATGAGAAAATTTGCTGCAGTTGGTGCAAAAATTAGATTTTAAATAATCATAAATATTCTCTTTATCTTAAATTCTAGAAATTTACTTCAGTTTCATTATAAAAAGCATTTGTCTTTAAAAAAATTATGAAGGTATAGAAACTTTTTTATTAGTGCCTTAAAAACACGTAATTTACAACACCGACTCACATTTACAATTTTTACCAATATGCCAAATATCTCCAAGACCATTGTATTCGCTTATATGGAGGCCACAACAATAACTCCACCGGCCAGCAATTTCGGGGGGGCTATTGTCAAACTCGAGAGAAAGTGATTTCTCTTAAGATTTTCATGAGAAATGTTATACTTCATCGTAAAAACAGTATTTTTAAAGGTAGTGAAAACTCGCAGACTATTTGTTTTGGTTTATTTCGAGAGGATTAAAACTCTTCCAAGAATTTGAATTCTCATTGGCTTTAAAAATACAGTTGAATATCAAGGATCGATTTTATAAATACCTCGTCAATGCTGACGACTTGAAGTTTTTCATGAAAATAAATAACCAATTGATGCTTTATTATTGGTATTTTATGAATGGTGACTATCAACCTTTTGACCTATTTCATAATAATTCATGACTTGCGCTTTATTATTTTTTTTCATAAGAACAGGAATGGTGCTTTATTATTATTGATTACTTTTTCCTAGGTTTTTACAGTTTGGACAAACCGGGAGATTTTTCATATATCGTGGACGTGATGTTTTTAGCAGCTATGATACATCCTGGTGGTGGTAGAAACGATATCCCACATAGATTAAAAAGACAATTCAGTGTATTCAACTGCACAATTCCTAGCGATAGAGCTATGGATGTAATTTTCAGTAAGCTGCCTTTTCTTTTCATAATCATAGTTTTTTTTGTAGAAAAGGGTGTGAAAAAGTGTCATACTGTTTACAAGAAAGTAGAACTGTAGTAAAACTATTAAATGTATTTCCTATTTATTAAAACCTTTTGAGACAACATATTTAGGATGTTCCTTTGGTTTAGGTCAAATTGCGTGTGGCTATTTTTGCGAAGAACGTTTTAATAGGGACATAGCAGAATTCATGCCAAAACTAATACCGCTTACCAGGCACATTTGGCAAAATACCAAGAAGAGGATGTTACCTACGCCGTCAAAGTTCCACTATGTCTTTAATCTTCGTGATCTGTCCAGAATCTGGCAAGGAATATTGACGCCGCAATATCTCGAATGCAAAACCAGAATAAAGGTGTTAAAATTATGGAGACACGAATGTTGCAGGGTTATTTCAGATCGGTAAGGAATATTTTTGTCAAACTTTATACAACATTATGCTGGTATGCTTTTAACAGATTTTGTTGATTTGCAGTTTTACTGAGTTTTCTGATCAAGTGTGGTTCTTCAACGCTCTGAGAAAACAAGCTGAAGAGGAACTTGAAGAGGATTTCGAATTCTATATAGACGACGATTCGTGGTGGGCGGATTTCTTCCGTGAACCTCCTGAGGCAACTGGAGATGAACCAGATGATTTTGACTTTAATGCTCCGAAAATTTATGAAGAAGTATCAAGTTTCGAATATCTGAAAATGAGATTAATGGGTATGTATTTTGAATCAAAAGCATCTGTAAATGTACTCGAAGATAAAACCTTAAAAATAGAAACGCCATTTTAATAAATGCCCAATAGAGTTGGGCGATATTCCATGAACAGTTATTTAATAATCATATTAGTCATGTTATATTCTTTACACGTATTTCTATCGATTTCTTAAATGTTTTCCAGAAAAATATTAAGAACAATTTTAAACCTATGTCTATTTACCAATGAAATTAGTAAAAGACAAAATAATATTCAAAATTTGTGCTTGGGGGTGGGTGGCTCAGTGATAAAGTCTCTGTTTGCGGATCCAAGTGTCTCAGGTTCGAATGCCACCGTTGGCCGGGATTTTTTTTTTTAATTAATTTATTTATAGAATACCCCACTCGACCATTTACTGTTGGGTTCTAATTAACAGTGCTGTTCCTAAAGTGGCGCTGGGAAACAGTAACAAAGCCTACACAAAAAACAAGGCGAAATAACTTTCTTCTTTAAATATCCTTTTTCCTTCAAGTATTTCTATTTTATTAAGTTCATTTAATGAGAAAATATATAACTTAATTATTGAATTTTTAATTAAAGAAAATATTAAAAAAAAAACTTAGTAGTTGAAGCCGATGACACACAAAAAAATCTGTACTACAGAAAATTTTAATATTAAGCTATAAAATGTCTACCGGTTTCGACCCAAGAACCACAATCAGGCCTAAGAGGGAAGGGTAATAAATAAAATGTTATATAGTAAACGAAAAATCAACTTTGGGGGTACAAAGTCGAATGCAAAAAGTCATTGAAATATAAAAACAGTTTAATTATTCTAATTTATATTTACTTAATACACCACCTTATTATACAGTGAGCAAGGAAAATCGTCGAGACAGGTCGATTTTTGATTTCTACAATGTACATTTTTGTATGATTAGTTTACCATTAATTTCATCCCTTACTGGAGGGGAGCAACCCTTTCGAAAAATTTAAATGGCATGGGGTGGTGAGTGATAGCTCATTTGAAAGGGGGTTTTATTCTCTATTCAACCATGCAAAAAAAATTGAAATTTGCTTCATTACGTGCTGATTTATTAATGTTTAAAAATAACAAAACCTCACAAAATAGGAAAGCAACTAAACTAACAGTGACCTTCTAATGGCAAAAAGTCTTACTTCACGTCTGAACCAAAATCGAAATCATGCAGGGCCGAATTTTAATTCTAACGATGAGTGCGCTACGTTAATTTCCGTTATTCTGAAACAACAATTAGTCGAGAATTAATGAAGCAAATTTCAAAATGGTTGCTCCCCTTCAGTAAGGTATAAAATTAAGGGTAAACTATTCATACAAAAATGTACATTGTAGAAATCAAAAATCGACGTGTCTCAGCGATTTTTCTAACAAGACTCCAGTAACGAGTTAGATAGGGGGGGTAAGACTTATGGTGCTCACTGTATAACTAATTTATTTGTAATCAAAACTACACAGATTTATATTTAACAATTTATCATTACTCGACAATACTCGTATCTATCTATTTATATACAAAAATGTTGCGCTTAGACAAATCTAGTCCTATCTCGTAGACTTCAAGATGCTTCTCGTCGGTTCTTTCCATCGAGATAGAGAATGAAGTAGAGACGACACAAACACTATTTTGTGATTTGACAGATAGACGCACTTAGCGATTCTCCAGAGATTCATTTCGGCGTATCGCCAGCGATTAATGAACGAATATCAAATTTTTCCCTATAAAAGAACATGAAAACTTGCGTGAAATGACATTCCGGTGACAATCTCCGGCGAGTCTAGTTTTCGAAATTAAAGTTGAAAATTGCCTAGTTTTTCGAAATTTTTATTTTCGAACTTACAAGCTAGATTGAATTTATGTATAAACAAACGTTTACTACATGTTTTAGTAATTAAAAATATTTTTAGTTACAGGGTGATTCACAAATGTATGACGATAATTTTTCCAAAATCTCACTAATTTTACTGTGACGCCAGGGAAGAATATTTTTAAAAAATACTACACAATATGGTATTTTAGCAACAGGATAAAACGTATTAAAATAGTAATGCAAAGTAAAAATAAATTCTGAAAATGGTTATTTAATTAAATAAAACTTTTCTGAAATTTTCTAACCAAATATCAAAATAATGATTTGAGGAAACAACTCCATTTATTTGAATTTTCCTAATCACTGTAACGATTCAAAGTATGATCTTGCCATCGTCCAACTCTACTTTTTCTCTGAATGACGTTGACGTTTCTATCTTTAAGAATATTGCCGCGTTGGAGAATCCACATCGGATGCATTTTTTACATCTCGAACGTTTTTTTATCCACATTGGACACATCTGTCCCATTACATTTACGTATACTGAATCACGTGATCAAAGATTTACTACATCTCAGATGCATCCGATGTGAATTCTCAAGAGCGGCATTTATCACTGAACTATATATTAAACTGGAAGAACAAAGCCTATCAACAAAATCAAGCCGCATAGCGAGGTGATATTGGACACTGTGGCGCCCACACGTGCGTAACGAAATGCACTAAAAAGGAACATCAAAATTAAATTTAACACTTATTACATTCAACTACTACACCTTTTAATTTAACAAAATCACTTAAAAATTATTTCTGATTAATACGCAGCTGAAACAAATGTTCCATTAATAATAATTATTAAAATAGCGCGTTATTAATAAAAAATAATATATCTTATCTAATGCCGCGTTTGAGAATCCACATCGGATGCATTTTTTACATCTCGAGCGTTTTTTTATCCACATCGGACACATCTGTCCCATTACATTTACGTATACTGAATCACGTGATCAAAGATTTTTTACATCTCAGATGCATCCGATGTGGATTCTTAAACGCAGCACTAGTACGTGGGTAACGTGACGTATGCCGCGTTTGAATATCCACATCGGATACATCTAAGATGTTGTGAATTTTTTATCACGTGATAGAGAATTAGATCTAAATGTAGATGTAATAAACAAACGCTCTAGACTTTATTGACAATGACAAGTTAGAAGTTTATACTTTTTAAATTTGACTTTTGAGACTACAAATCAACCTAAATTTCAAATCTAAACAAAAATTAAACAAACTAATCACATTTATATTCATGCCTAGCATAACTCACGGATAAATTGACAAACTTGGCTTCACAGAACACTTACTTTCTGGCATGGAACGAACCTCATTTCAAATCGAGATGCAAAAATGTAATCTGGACAGGTACATCTGGGATAAACAAACGCAGATGTAGATGTAGTAGATGTGTCCGATGCGGATAAACAAACGCTCGAGATGTAAGAAATGCATCGGATGTGGATATTCAAACGCGGCAGTAGAATGCTCGAAATTGACAGTATTTTTTTTTCCGACATGGCTTAGAAATTTAGGAGTACGGTTTGTCATATAACCATCCAGTTTAATATTAAGGTCGGTGAGCTAACTATATAAAAATGTTTTGAAATACGGACGTAAATATTTTAATAAAGAGATCGAGCAAGCATCGATAGGGTCTTACGCTAATTATCAACCATGGTATTTTCGAAATAACGAATGCACGCAAACATAATTTTATAGAGAGTTCAGGCAAATTAAATTTATTTTAGGTTTAACGTTATATATTAAGGTATTTTCGGTTTGACCTCACATTCCCCTATTCTATGGTTTGATTACTGTTTTGATAGTATTGACTTGATACTTTTTGTTCTTTGGTTCCTATCATTTTATTTTCATTTGTTTAGATCGTGGCAATCGTAGTTTATATTATATAATATATATTTGAGTGGATTAATTTTTTTGGAATATGGAACAAGATTTTAATTTGGAATTACCAATATTGGCAGATGCGGATGATAATACTAAATAATATTTTGGGAAATGATGAAGAATCGCATGGTTTAATTAAACTTAAATAAAATAATAAAGTCCCATATACTCCTAACAATGATCAAGCAATATTTTGCGTCTTTACAATGTATTTTAAAAAATTACAAAAACAAAATGTTTAAATTGCTATTAAAATTTTAAAATTACTATGAATTCCAGCAAACACAAGCGAAACCAAACCAAAACAGAAACATGAAACCGGAAACCCGCCTCAAATGACAAACGACATACCACCATATTATGGATGACATTAAATTCGGATACATTCGGCTTCCCTTATGTTTTATAAACTTACGGCAATAGGGTAATTTGATAATATTTTGATCTGCTCATGCGTAGATGTCGAATAATGTCGTAGGCAATTATCGTATCACGATATTAGGGCTTGCCCGATCTCTCTACTTACTACAAGGGTATGGTCCATTATTAACCGAACTATCGGTTACTCGGTCCAAAACTAACCGTTCTGCTTGACATTCCTAAAAAATCAGTTAAATTAGGGACGCGATTAACTGAAAATGATGACTCAAACATCAATTCACTAATCGCAATATTTTTACGGTTACTATTAAGTCGAATATCAATATGTCACAGAAGTGACGTAAAGCTCGGCCGTGGTCCAAATTAACCAAAAAATTTTCAGGAATCGCTGTCAAAAAATCCTGGTTACTTGCGGTTAGTAGTTGGTTAATATCGGACCATACCCTAAGTGTCTTAAATTGTAATGAATTTAACACGACACTTATGTTGTCAATTTTAAAGATTTCATGGAAACGTATAACATGGAGACAAGGGGCATGGTAATGGATTTGGTGTTCTTTAGAGACGCTCTTATCCATTTGTTGATCATCTCCCGGATAATCAGAACACCACGAGGCAATGCACTTTTGGTCGGCGTCGGTGGTTCTGGAAAACAAAGTTTAACACGTCTCGCTACTTTCATAGCCAACTATGAGGCATTCCAAATACAACTAACTAGGTAATTTTTATTTATTAAAGACATTTTATTAACTCTTTGATCGACTAAGGACAAACTCCAACGATTGGAACTGGAACCCAACCAACCAAAGAACGGGCTTGGACTGTCCCATTTATGCACCTATCGCGGGTTACTCTTATTTCCTACTCAGAGCCGTTTTGCACGGTTATCTAATCTGCATACATTGGGTTTGTTAACAGATACTTCAGTTACCCTCTTTATAATCCACCCTGTATAAACAATGTATAGTAAACATAAGAACAACAATGTATTTCGTTATTCAATCTGTAGCTTGTATTACCTAATTTAAAAATGTAACACAAAATAAAGAATAAAAATCATGTTTCAATTACACATAATAAAATAAAATCAAAGCCAACCCTAATAAACGCATGTATGCAGTTTAACGTATTTCAAAGTTCCAAGAGAAACATTCCGTTAGTAGCGAACAGGTAGCAAGCAGGTACCCATACAGCACAAACACATTTCAGAAATATTTCAAATATATTTCAAAAATATTACATTGAAACATTTGTAATGTTGTATTAATATTACGAAACATCCCAGAAACATTTCTGAAATGTGCTTGAAACGTAAAAATGTCCTGTAAATATAATATTTCACAGTAATATTTCTGAAATAAAAATTTTAATTCTTTTAGAATTATTAAATAGTAATATTTCAGAAATCTTTTCTAGCTTTTTTTACTAAAATATTATTAGACTAAAAAATAGTTATTTATGCAACAAGTGCAAAAAGTAAGTGTGCACGCGACAACACGTTTAGTGCAATAAAAACTTTTTGCACGAGTTGCATACAATATTTTTTCTACGTTCATGCGAAAACCAAAAAATATTTTATTTAGGCCACACTAAGTGCAAAAGAATAAAAAGCGTAATTTAATAGCAAAATATTTAATAACTAATAATTAGCATCGATTAACATTGAAAAAGTACTATAACTATGTTAAGAAAAATAATGTAACCAAAACTTTAACTGTATTATGAACAATAATTAAACTTAAACGTTGTTTTTGCCACTAATATTAAAAGTAAATGTACAATTTTCAATATTAATATTTTTTATGTTTGTCATGATCATAAAACGCTGTAGTAAAATGAAAAATGAGTGCAATAAAATTTTTATTGCACTAGTGCAATAAAGAACCAGTTTTTTCACTAAATATAGTTTGTAACAAAATATGAGAGTATTAGCTCGAATAAGCTTTATTAATATAGCTCTACAATATTATTTCAAATATCACTTATGTCAAACTTGACAATACTGTCCAAATCTCATCAAAATCAATCATACAGGATGATCTTCTACATCTAACCCCTCCCTCATGAAGTCATCAGTCCTGGGATGATATTTTCTTAAATTAGAAACGCACAGATTCCTCTATGCCTTCATTGAAGTAATTCACCGATGACACTAATCCATTAAAGGTTTTAACTTTAGTAACTTCAAAAGGTCCCTTGACAATAAATTATTTCCCAATTTTTTGATGCCTTGTTAAAATATGATCTCCAATTCTTAAATTTGGCGGTTTAAGTTTTTTGTTTTTGTTTGCTTGTTGTTGTGTGTATTTTTTATATTTATCTTGTTCTTCTTTAGATTTGGGAAGTTCCTTTATCTCTATATCCAGTCCTAAAGATTTATCTGCTAGTAACATAGGTGCCTTTCCAAACAGTTTAAAATTTGGCGAGCAGCCTAAATACTCATTATGTGAATAATTATGGTGCTGTATCGCTGCTTCTAATCCCTTTTTCCAGCCACCAGTGAGTTCAGGGTAGCATTTTAAGTAAGTTTTTACGTCCCTTATGGCTCGTTCGGCAATACCATTACTCCTTGGATGATAAGGACTAGTGTGAATTAACTTTATATTCTTACTTATTGCAAAATTTCGAAATTCTTCAGATTTAAAAGCTTTTCCACAATCTGAAACGATGTTATTTATTTGGTGAATATAAGGAATTTTATTTAAATAATCTATAAGGGCTCTGCTACTCTCTTTTATTGATTTGACAAAAACATATCGTGAAGCTTCATCTATAACAATAACAAACGATTTTGTGGTTTGATTTAAATCCGACTTTTTACTCACTTCCCCAAAGTCAATATGTACAGTTTCAAATGGAATTTCAGAACATTGTGAGATGTGTATAAAATCTGGTCAAGGTAAATATTTGAATTTATTAATTAGACATATTCGACAAGTTTTCACATACTCTCTTATCTGCTTTGCCATAGAATTCCAGAAAAATCTCCTTTTTAACTTATAGTATATCTTATAATAACCGTCATGCCCACCTGAGATCGGATCATCGTGATACATCATTAATATTTCTTTTACCATTCTAGGAGACTTTACTAAATAACTGACATCTTCTAACTTTTCTAGATCTTCCACCATTAAATTACACCAAAAGGAATCATTTGTTTCATTCGGCATATCAATACATAACCTTGAAATCGCATCACTATCTTTTAATTCTTGGCCACTCTTATGATTTACCTCCATGTCAAAACTCGATAAAAATAATTTCCATCTTGCCAAACGGTCTCTAAGATTTGCGCTGCTTAGAAGTTGAGTTAAAGCTCGGTGATCAGTATGAACAACAAAGTGTTTATTTTCTAAATATATTCTAAAATGTTTGACCGCCTTGACCACTCCTAGACACTCTTTTTCTGTAACTGAATAGTTTAGCTCACTTTTAGAAAAGGTATATGAGTAGTAGCTTATAACTCGGAGTTGTCTATTTTTAGTCTCGTTCTCATCTCTTTGATATAGGATAGCCCCACACCCATAGTATGACGCATCTGTAGCTAGTTCGTATTTTAATTTTGGATCTGGTAATCGAAGAATCGATTCTGAAGTAATAATTGTTTTTAAATTTTGGAATGCTTCTTCACATTTTTCACTCCAAATAAATTTTTTATTTTTTGACAATCATACTATAATCCTTAATGAAACTTCTAAAATGATTAGTAAGACCAGTGAAACACTGTAAAGATTTTAAATCAGTTGGTTTCTTCATATTTTGTACCTTTCCTACAGTTTCTTTTTTCATTCTTTTTATATTACCATCTATTTCTCTTCCTAAAAATATAACTTTTCTTACACAAAATATGCATTTTTTCAAATATATTTTAAAATTGTTGTTATTCAATCTCTTTAAAATTCCAAGAGTGTTTGCCTGACACTCGTCTGAATCGGATCCTCCACAAATGATGTCGTCGATGTATACTAAGATTTTTTTTCCCAATAAGTCTCCTAATACTTCTTGCATTATACTCTGTAATCTAGCGCTTGAATTTTTCCATCCAAAAGGTAATCTTTTAAAATCAAAATGCCCTTCTTCAGTTATAAAAGCTGTGTATTTCCTAGTATGTTCCGAAAGGATAATATTCCAAAATCCATCTTTTAAATCTATTTTAGAAAAATATTTACATCCGCCGAAAGTTTCTATAAGTCCCATCAGCCTTCATCTGAAGTACACAAGGTGAGGCATACGGATAATCAGATTTTGTAATAATGTCTCTTTCAATTAATTCTTTAATTTTTTCTTTAATCCAGTTCTTCTTTTCTATAGAATGTCTATATGGCTTTAATCTTACAATTTTTGCACATTCCTTTAAATCGAAATTTGTACTATAATTACGATAATTTAAAACATTTGGGAATGATTTTCTTATACTCTCTTCAGATATAAGATGTTTTACTTTATTATGAAAAATCTCCTAATTATTTAGGGTTTTTCGACCTATTATCATGTCAAATAACATATCTTCAACAATAACAGGATTTATTTCTTTTTCGTTCCCATTTATATTTATCTGGATTCTTGACTCATAAGAGCATCTTGTTATTCCCGCTAGACTTCTGATACTGACATTTTCCTTAAATTTTGGAAATTTATACATATCAACTACTTTTTCATTAATTATATCTAGTTCTGAACCAGTGTCTAACAAAGCCTTTAGTTTTATATCATATACTAATACAGGTACAACATTTTCATTATTTTCTATTGAAATATTAAAATTGTAAGAAAAATTCGAATAATTTTCAAAATACTGTATTTCTTTCTCATCAACATCATTGTTAACTATTTCATTGCAGTAGTTTCTAGAAAAATTATCCTTCAAACCTGCTCCTTGTACCTCATCTTCTGTTCTTCTATTAGTGTCCCTTTTTTCTACTGGCTTCCACGTGTGATTCTTTTTGAAATGTGTTTGAGTATTCTTTGACAACCCGTTCTCCTGATAACCTGGAGCACTGCAGAATTTCTCAATCTTTAAATATTTTAAATTTTGTAGTAACTCCTGCTTCGAATTAATTTCTTTACCACTGAGCTGCCTTTGCATGGTTGTAGGAAGTCCCAAAATAACTAAAGCTATCAAAGATCTTTCAGAAATGGTATCATCTGCCCATTTAAGTAACCTTTGCTTTTCGAAAAAATATTCTAATATATTTCCATAATGATATTTTAATGCCAATGCCTTTTCCCATTTAACAATGTAATTTTCATCGAATGTTTCGATGAACTCCTTCTTCCATTCCTCCCACTGAAACTCATTCATTGCTGTGATCTGAACCTTCTCTTCATACCATCTTAGTGCTACGCATGTTAGTTGACCTCTAAGGTGGAAGATCTTCTCAGCTGTTGAATTCCATTCATTCGAAAGACATGCAAACTCATATGAATTCATCCAGGCCAGTGGATTCTCGCCCAAACCATCAAACATCGGTATTTTCACTATCTCCGGTCTAGTTTTTATTGACAGCCACTTCGACATCATTTTGTCTAGTTCGTTCTTTCCAAAAATTATGTTCTGGTCTTTTTCTTTTTCACCTGCGGTCTCCTCATAGTCGATTCGGATAATGTTTTCACTTGACTGCGCCATTGCAACAAAATATGAGAGTATTAGCTCGAATAAGCTTTATTAATATGGCTCTATAATATTATTTCAAATATCACTTATGTCAAACTCATCAAAATCAATCATACAGGATGATCTTCTACATAGTTCAATAAAGTTTTGTTTTTTGCATGAACGTAGAAAAGACATTTATAAATATACATGTATATTTAAAATACACTAAACTCAAACATTGATTCTTAAACAAATAATTAATTTTTATACATTATTTTATAAAATATAAAGGCAAATCGCTTAATTTCCACAAATTCCTTTAAATGCACTTATCTGAAAAAGTTTTTTTTTAATAAATGATGTTTCAGAAACATTTTCAGTGAAATATTTCAGAAACGTGTGATTGAAATGTTATATGTTTGAAATATTTCTGAAACACTTCTGAAATAATGTGTGCTGTATGGGTAGCTACCTGCGCGAAATTTTTCTCACTTTATAGAAAATTCCAAATAACAAAATAAAACGCCAACTCGTTTCCACTCGCTGAACTATTTCAGGCACGTTTAAAAAAATATATATATAATCATAAGCCAACGCAGCAGTGTCTAAGACAGTGTCAAACATACGATTTTTTCTCATAACAATCATAACAGTAACACATCAGGCACTTTAACATAACCAGACGGTAACGACGACTCACGTCGAGATCCATTTCAACCTCCGAACAAACAACAATTTTCATCTCTGCGCGATTTTTTGCATTTCTTAACATTAAAACAATATAAAAAAATGTTTTAAACTAGTATTAGAAATTATTTAAAGCAACTCTGACAAAGCTGTATCCTGAGGCCGCCTGCGGTCGTTCGTAAGGAATGGGGATTTACATACGTGCGCTCGTGTAAATTGGCTGCCTGTATTTTTGTTTATCATTTTCGTGCCTTACTGTTTAATAATTTTTTTAGTGTATTCAATTGAGAATTGAGAATATTCTTTGATTGAATGTAATCTTATATTTCTAACACTAGCATGTTTTAGAAAACATAGTTACATGTAAAAGTATTATACAAATGTTATATGGTCATAAAATGCAAGACAATTTATTCAGCAATTCATCAAAAAATACAGTCCACGATCTACCCTGTAAACAGAAAGGAACCCTTATCGAAAGTTTACAAGAAAAAATCACCGCTAGCCTTCGGCAGGGATCAAGGACGTTTATATTTTTAAAGTGTTATATTTTCTTGTAAAACGTTTTAATTAGTTATTAAATAATAGTTTTTGAAAATGTTATTAGTATAAAATTGGATTATTAAAATCCTCATCTTTCGTTTATTGGTCGCAGCGCTAAATAGCATGCTAATTTTTAAATAAACATTTGAAATTTTGTGAGATACTGCAAAAACAAGATAGCTTCACTTTTGGAATTTTCGAGTTAATTACACTTTCTACAAGTGTGAACGAAGTCTATATTCATGATAAACAAATAGTCAATAAAAACTAACTCCATATTAATACATTACCAATATGCACAAACAAAATGGAGTGGAATTTGTACCAAAACATAATCATAACATTGTGTTCAATTGCTAAGTGTGTCTGCTAAAACTAGATAATAGGCATATAACTTATTTTTGCTAAATATATTTAGACCGATTCCTAACAGTGTTTATGCCAAAACAAGATAAAGTCCAGAACCGAGGGGAATCCCTAAGGTACCTGTATTTAGGAAATGTGATTTCGGTGATTTCACTGAAAATCCACCTTAATTTTATACGATGATCTTTTTTTCTCGGTATTTACCAATGTTTTGAGCGACGAATTAATTTCGGCGATGATTTCAACCATAATGTTCAACGATGATTTTGGAATTTTCGAGAAAATTTGTACTGATTTCGGTGATTTCCAGTGGAAACATGCCAGTATTTCGGGAGTGGTTTACCGTACTTATTTTTGTTGAATGGGTTTGTTAAAATGCAACATTGTGCCCAAGTCATTTGTTTTATTATGACTAGAGCCATCTCTGGCCTTACTCGATTGTTCCGAAATCCACGAGATCATTACGTTACCCTTTCTTTCCGCGATACATCTAACCTTCAACAACCACGAATCTCCGTAGTGAACGAGTGATTGGTCAAGATGTAACGAGTGATTGGTCAAGCTGTAACGAGTGATTGGTTAAGCTGTAACGAGAGATTGGTCAAGCCGTAACGAGCGAAATTAAAAATATTAGTGGTAACAAGTGAATTTGAATTTTAACCATACTTTCTAATAGAAAGATTCATCTCTCCAAAAAACATTCTGTTACATACTTATAGTTGTAATTAAATAACATTTCAAACGAAGTCTTTATTTTTATGTCGTTGAGTCTAGCCCCTACAAGTTGGCGTATGTCATATATGATATATGACGTGACAGATGACAAATAGAACTCAAGGTTCTTGTTATAAAGGTTAAGCCTAAACTACTAACTAATGCCTATGTTACACATTCCACCAAAAAAATAGATTTAATTTGTCAATGAGCGAGGGTGGCATTCGGATTTATATGCCAAACTCACCCAGTATTTTTTATTCAGAGAGGTGCATGAAAGTTTGAAACAAAGTGTGTTTTATTTATTAGAGGTCTCCACTAACAATTTTAGATAGATGGCCTAAAAAAGGTCAACTTCCAAAAATATTGAGGCCCGTGTAACATAGCTAACATACGAATGTGGCCCGAAGAAAAAAAAGGTTGAGTATGGCTGGCCTATATCTATTGTTTACCTTACTGAAACGATATGGAACTTCTACAAATGTATGTATTAGAGCAATCAAAACATTCAATAATCATTTTTAAATTTGAAACTGATAAATTCCTTAAAAAAACGAGAAAAAACCATATGAGAAACGATTTTACTTAAATATCCCCAATAATCTCGGGTTTTAAGATTTTATCATCAGCCTAAATCCATATGATTTTGATTTTTGTTTTTCAATTTTTTAGAAAAAGTTGTTTATTTTAATTATTTCTATGCCCAATTAAAAAAGAAGTATTTTGGAATAACTCTATTGGTATAGGCTTGTTTAAGATCACCAAAATATTAGTTCGTAAAGACTTGACTAAGCTCATCAACGTTTGCGCATGCTTTAGCGAATTAGTACGAGATTAAGAAAGTTTGTACAATATATAAACACAAGTTGGTACGAGCTCGTTGATTTTCATAAAGGTTCGTTTAAGTGAATTCGTGGAGTTTCATCTCAGTTCGTACAGGCTTGTCAAGTTTTCTCTAAGCTCGCGAAAGATCGTCCTAGTTTGTGGAAGTTCGTCTAAGCTCATCAAGGTTCGTGGATATATGAGCGTTTTTACGTTTAAATGAATATTGCATAGACTCCCTGGAAGCATTATAAATAAAAATTTCAATCATGCAGTGATATTGTAAAAATAGCCGTTTATTAATAATGATGCGCTTAAGTTTTTTTAACATTTATTTACATATTTTCAGGAGTTATAGTTTAACCAATTTAATGGATGACATGAAATTCCTTTACCGTCAAAGCGGATTAATCGGCAACGGTGTGTCCTTCATCTTTACCGATAACGAAATCAAGGACGAAACATTTTTGGAAAGCTTGAACAACATTCTGAGTTCTGGCGAAATCGCCAATTTATTCGCCAAGGACGAATTGGATGAGATCCAGAATGAATTGATACCGATTATGAAGAGAAAGGATCCGAAGAGGATACCCACGATGGACAATCTTTATGATTTCTTTATTACCAGGTCTAGAAGTAATATACATGTTGTGCTGTGTTTCTCGCCAGTAAGTTAAAATATGTTCAAAAATGACAAGCATGTTTTCACAGATACTTCAGTTACACTTTATAATCTATATAATTCACCCCGTATAAATAATGTAGGGGATAGTTGGACAAAACGGGATAGCTAACGTTATTTGACTCGTAACTCTCTAACTAGGCTATTGATATCTGCTGTTTCTTAAATGTAACTTCCTCATTGATCCCTTCCTATGTTTAGGAACAGTTATTCCTGAATAGCTTAAAGATAACATAGAAAAAGTCATATTTAAAAAAAAAAGGTAAAGTATCCCGTTTTGCCCACCTGGTCGGGTAAAATGGGATGGTGATTAAATACGAATAGAAAAGTATATTAAAATAAAATTTATTTAATAAAACTTGAAAAGAGAAACATTATGAGTTTTATATTTATAATTCAAAACCAATTAATGGTTAAGCACCGACAAAAATCGCACGAGTACGGCTCACCATCGTTCTCAACACCGGCGCAAGCTTCATGAGCCCAAAGTTTACAGTCCTGGCACATTACCCAACCGTCATTTGTCTTAGAATTAGAATATAAGTCTGTGCAATAAATGCAAACTTCGTCGTCCTCCTCCTCTTCTTCTGAACTGCTGTCTTCTTTCTTTCTTTTTTCCTGTCCTTTCTTTGGCTTAGTGACACATTTTTTATTTTTTCCTTTGTTATTCTTTACTTTTTGATTTTCCTCCAAGTTCAGTTTGGGTTTCTTGATAGGCTTGTTCATTACAGATGTTTCCAGTTCTTCTTTGTAAGGGGTTGAAGTTAGCACAGCCGATTTTCCTCTCCTTTTATCGTTAGGATTAATTTTTCTTTCTGCGTGAGGAACTGGAACTATTTGTTGAGGTGTTACTTCAAATTTCGTGATGGTGTATGAACAAGAGGGGGTCGCATTTGCATCGAAATCTCTGCAAGAAACAGGAGGAGTATTATACAAATTTTCTTTACTTTCAAGCATCTGGGGCGTTTTTTGTGGTGTAACAGGATCTGTTGTTGCGGAGTTGTCAACCTTTTCTGCATCATGCCTTGCTTGCTCTTCACCTGCAACTTGGTTTTGTGATAATCGCCGTAAAACAAGCTTTTGTGTATGTGGTGGAGGGCGGCTATTATTTTCGGTGTGTCTGTTGTTTGAGCTGGCTCAAACATCCAGTCTTCAAATATTTCTGGATTGAAAGGTTGAATGCCTGTCTTTCTAAAACCATTCACAGCTGTTTGGATGCTAGCAGCTTTCATATATGCATTACCGAAAAGCTTGCCTATTTGGAATATCGTAACTGGTCGACCTGGATGTTGCTGTATAATATGAGCTAAGTGGTAACATGAAACTGACGTCTAGCGGTTGTAAACGATGCGTGGTATGCGGTGGAAAGCAGAGCATTACAACACCGCTAACTCTAGCTTTCTCTATAACGTCTAATTTTTTTGTGTGGGTCGTATGTCCGTCCAAAAGTAAGAGGACAGGTAAGAGGACAGGATGTTCTTTGAAGGGCTTGGAAAACTCAATAAATTGATTGAACCAGTTCGAAAAAATCTCTTTTTGCATCCATCCTGAAGAATGATAAAAAGCTTTACTTCCAGGAGGAGCATCATCTAGCAGCTCCGGCTTAGTTCTGGATCTAGGAAAAATGAATGTAGGCGGCATAAATACACTAGTAGCACTCATGCAAATTTCCACGGTGACAAGAACGCCGCGTTCAGTTGAAGATATACACCCAACTTGCCTTTTCCCATGCAACGATAAGCATTTCGATCTTTTCTTTGGCACTGTCATTATACCCGTCTCGTCGACGTTGTAAATCCGTTCGGGTGGTATTTTATATTTTTCAAGCACGTCAGACAGCAAGGAAAAATATTTTTGTAAGGCAGGTCTATTAAAACCCATGGCTCTAGCAAGTGATGTTGGCTCAGGGGTGCGAAGTTTAACTTTTGGATGTCTCTTAGAAAACTGTATAACCAAGCTTTTCCGGTCATTTTTTTGTCTCTGTTAAATTGATTAGCTAAGCCATTGCGTTGAGCTAACTGAAAGGCCAAACTACGAAAGTCATTCAAACTAAAACCAAACAGTCGTGATTCCATAGACAAAATGTGTCGCACCAACTCTTCTTCTTGCTCCATAGAGAAAACCCGTCTGTGACGCCCTAGTCCCTTTTTTGCTGAGTTCTCTCGTTCGAGAGTCCCATTTTTATTTTTTTTACTCTGGCTTCAATAGTTGTCCGAGGTACCCCAAATTGTTTCGAAGCCTTAAGATACCCCATTCTTCCTTCGAGAACCTCTTCCACCGCCTGGCGCATACTTTCCTCATTCCAAGACTACCGTTCAGTTTTTCTTTTATATTTTCCAATCTTTTAACAAGCCTGTAACAAAAGTAAAGTTTAAATTTCTCGTGAAAATCTATATAGTTTCTTGGTTGGACAAAACGGGATAGTATCCAGTTTTACCCGACCGCTTGGTTTCCCATTTTGCCCAACTGCACATTCCAAAATGCTTTTCAAAGTTTTTCACAAATGTCGCAAAATACAGTCAATTATCTACAAAATCACAAAAAATACTCACCGTTATTTATTTTGCTTGTTTAAAATAAGAAACACTAAATTAACCGCTAATAAAACTAAATAGTATAACCTCACTTTTTCAAACTGCCGTTGTCACTCACTAATGAACAGCAGTTAATGAGAATAAACACTTCCTACATTCAAGCAAACGTTATTTATAGTGATTAACGCCACGACTCGTTAGATAGCGCTGCGTCTTCATAAATATTGGCCGATATCCCGTTTTATCCGACTATCCTGTTTTGTCCAACTCTCCCCTACATTCTACAAATTGAAAGATGAGAAATCGACGTGCAATGCAAAACAAAATGTATGAAAATATTCTACTTTTCGTCGTAGATTTTAGCACATAAATCTGCAAATTTTTTAATCGGTCTTTTACAAAAAGAGGTTATCCTTGCCCATTCACAATTTTGTTGATTTTATACTAGGTAGGTGAAAAATTCAGAAGCAGGGCATTAAAATTCCCCGGTCTTATTTCTGGTTGCACGGTAGATTGGTTCAGTAAATGGCCAATGGATGCTCTAATTGAAGTATCGATGCACTTCATGGACGAATATAGCGTGGTGTCCACGCCCGAGGTTAAAATGGAACTGATAATGATGATGGCTGAACTGCACGATAGCGTCAATGATTTCTGCGAATCATATTTCAACAGGTAAATTATTTGGAATTTGTATTGCATTCTTAGTTATATTTAATTTAATTACCGAAACATATTGTCGTTCAACCAGTCCGACCTTGTTTTTTGATGACCTTTACCGCTAACACTGGCGATCGAGAAACGACTGGAATTTTTTTTTATATACGTAGGTCGACGCGTGGAGGAAGGATTTCATGAACGCATCGAGATTCTTCTAGTCAGGATTTTATTTTTTTCTAGGCTGTTTTTCTATAAGTGAATTTTTTTTCCGTACTAAGTTAAGTTTTAAAATAAATGTTGTCGAATAAAGATAAATTGAAGGACTTATTCTTAGAACGTGATAAGCAAAACATTTAAAAAGAAAAGCATTTTTACTTCACGACAATAAAAAATAAACTAACAAAAGGACCAAAAGGAAATGCTCTACCAAATACCATCATTAGCCGAAAAATCAAGTTATTGCATTTTAATAGAGTTGTAGTAGTTAGAGAAGTTTTTTTTAACCTTTGAAGACCTTAATAAATTATTTTTGTGGCTTATCATGTTATTTTAATAAGCACTTTAATTGTTAAATAAATAGAAGTGTGAAATATAGATAGTGCTGATTGCTGATCTAAATATTTTAGTATAAATAATATAATTATTATTCAGTGTAAATAAATTATACCTAAATTATTTTTTTAAATAAATAAACGTTACAAAATACTACTGTTAGGCCGGTTTTTGGTATGTCAATTTATTTTAACTCAACTTTTACAACTGATAACATTAACATATAACGTCTATCATAAAACTGCCTGTCCGACGTCAGGATCATTTTCTTATATAGCTCGATTTAACCTTCTAGAACCTTCCTAAACTTCCAGGTGTTTCTTAACGTGGAATGACATTTCTCGAATATTCTCCCTTCTTCTTTCTTCACTGTAGGGTGATGAGTAAAAATACTCATGATGCTAAATATTTTGATCCTCCTGATTCTACTAGAGAATATCTAAAATCGTATCTTACATATATTGTGACTAACCCTTGGTTTTCATTTAGATTCCGAAGACGCTCTTACGTGACACCCAAGACATTTATTTCGTTCCTGGGAGCTTACAAAGTTTTATATAGAATAAAAGTAGATGAAATTGCTGTACTAGCCATTAGGATGAAAACCGGTCTAACAAAACTGGTAGAAGCGGCTGTAAGCGTCGACGAACTGCGCAAGGATTTGGCTCTTAAAGAACTTGAAATGGTCAGAGCCACAAAAACAGCAGATAATGTAAGTGTATCATTAATAATAACCAGAAACAGCATTAGGTTGAAACATATTTTTTTTTATTTGGTATCATCGGCATCAACTACTTAGTAGGCTTTGTTACTATTTCTCAGCGCCACTTAAGGAACAGCACTGTTAATTAGAACCAACAGTGAATGACCGAGTGGGAAATCCTACACATGCATTATAATTAATAATTGATTTATTGAATTAAATAAAAATCCCTTCCATAAAATTTACATTTTTATATCATATACAATACCCTGTAGGTAGGATGAAAGAATTGTCATTGTCGATTTCAGACCACCAAATATAACTTCGAGCTATAGCCTTTATCTTTACAACTCCGGTATTGCCTTCATGCAACTATGTCCTGATTAGAAAAAAGCGGGAGACGTGTTTAAAAAAGCAAGGATAATGGACTCTGTTGGAGCTGGGACGAATCTTCAAAGAATAGATTCGAATCAGGAATCCGATTCACGAGATGTGATTTGACTCACGGATCCCATGTCCGAATTCAAGGATTCAAACCAAGCGATTCAAATCCATTTTTTCGGATCTCGAATACGAATCACTGTCAGTGTCATACCACAGTTTATAGCTAAAGAATCAGTTCGCTCACTCTGCGTCGGCACTTTTGATCTCAATGTTCCAGTTTATACACTGCGCAACCCGGATTTGTATCCCTGGCGCATACAGAATCAAATCATAACCAATACAATATATGACAACCGCCTATATTCAAACAGCAGTCTTCTGCGCATCCTGAATTTGTATCCCTGGAATGGATATTATTTTGGAACATTCAACAGGTCCAAGTGAGCTGATTCTTTAGCAATAAACTGTGGCCATACTATGTATTATTTATCTAATACTGTCAATTATGTGTCTATTACTAACTACGCCATGCATAAAAAGCAATAATTTTCATAAGATATGACTACGAGAACTTCCATCGGACCAAGAACCCTGAGGTAAGAGTAAGGTCTCTATACTCGGACAAAATATTGAAGAAGGTGAGTCATATGAATGAAAATTCCGACAGAGTTAGCATAGGCGGCGTATCAAATACCAAATAATTATTTATTATTTATTAGGTATTTGTTAGTAGATAAACTTTATTAAACTTCATCTTTATTTAAACAAAGATGATGCGTTAAATATACGTTTCTGATAGTTTTCAAGAAATGAATTTATTTATGCCCTAATGACTTCGTTATCTGTGTTTAATGGTTTAAAATGTGTTTCAAGTAAATAAACGACAGACGGGTTACAGATTGAATATTGTCAGCACAGGCACAAAGACAGTTGAAAACTAACTTTCGACGAAGTTAGATTTGTATCGCTTTAACTATTTACGTTAATTATTTTATATTTTATAAACACTTTTTTGTATAAGTGCTCTTTTCTGATATACGAGTAGGTGTTCATGTTTGTGCCTTATAATTTGGTAGTGGTAGTGCATATTCGAGGAGTTATATTTATTGTGTAGTATATTAGGTAGGTACTTTAAACGTTTATTAAATAGTAAAATATTGGTGTCTTTATAAATTTAACAGAAACAATTTAATAGTAGAATTATATTGTTTTACAATAGTAATGGATTCAGAGGCGGGTCCAAGTGAAACCCAATTACGTCGGTGAAAGCCCTTATCAAAGGATGAAAAGAACACTATATGGAAAGTGTATGATGTGCTGAAACAGACACTTCCTACAGATGAAGCTGTAAACCGCAGTTCTTTTTTAACTGGAGTATCTGTTTCAACAATTGAACGTATTGTACGCGAAAAGACAAAAAAGGCTCCTTAGAAGTCCCTAAAACGCATACCCATAGTCGAAAATTGTTGAAATTGGACGATAACCAAAAACAAATCATTCGAAGAACTGTACATTCTTTTTTTTTTTTTTTTTCGAAAACAACTACGTCACTGGCATAGTATTTAAATATTTTAACAATAAACAAAACAAAATTATAAACATAAATGATTATTACTACAAAAATAGATAACCAACCTACTTTCATATAATATTATTTACGATTACCGCATTTAATTTGCCAATAGTTTTTATACGCCACTGGCGTAATTCATTTTGGCAACAAACATGCATTTATGACTTGTTAGCACGTGATACCGATAACTTCTGCAGTTTTAAGCGCGTGATTCCATTCATTATGCTCTGGTATAGTATTATTGTTGTACGTGAACAGGGAGGAATCACCTTCTTCAATATTTTGTCCTAGTCTAGTTGTTGCAGGAATTCTGAAACAGAAAATAAAAATTAATAAAAAAGAAGGAGGTTAAATTAATATAATATAAATTAATATTAAAAATTATTAATAAAAGAATGCAACTAACAATACAAGAAAGTAATAATGCTGGTTGCCAAAACACAATTTTATAAATAATTAGTCAAAATTAGAAATTGCCGTTTTATCTAATTCTTTCATGTTGCAGAACCTCGCTCTGCTCGTCTTGCAAATATTCACTCGTTACATAATATAAGGCATTTAGCAACATACTGGTTCATAAGTAGCTATTTTGAAACTAGTTTCATTTAATATTATGCAATTGGTTGCGTAAAGTAAATCCATTTTGACACTTGTGTGATTACAAAAATCTCACTTTATATGTCAAAATTAGACAACTACAATTATATTTAAGTACCTTGCATTACGAAATTTGTATTCCTCACATGTATCTTATTACAGTCTTGCCAGGAACGTCCAACTGTATAACCGTGTTTAAATATCCATGTTTCATCCAAAAAAACCAAACTGATACAAGCCTTCCCTTTTGATTTTAACATATTCGTGTAAAAAATGTACACGTTTAAAAGCAAGATGTGGTAACTGTATTAAATCACGACGTAAATCATTTTTCTTGTATTTAATTTTCATAGTGACGATATAGAACCACTGAAAAGTACACGCTTCTGAAGTTTTTGTTTCTGAAGGTTGTATTCCACTGAAAAAAATACTTATGTTAAATGATGTGATATATTTTTGATACATACTCACTGTTTCTATACATTTCATAAATAACGTTTTGGAAAGCATTTTGATCAAAGACGTCAAATCTAACAATAGGTTTTAAACATTGTCGGTTCTCTGGTGGGCTTTTAGGCATTTCACCTCTGTTGTGCTTGGCTGCAATACGATTCACCCTTGTAAGACTTAGTTGTAAGGCATATGCAACTCTCTGTAAATAAAAAAAAAAACTGAATACACAACAAATCAAACGAAACGACCTATCCTGCAAACGAATATTGATTGATGAATCAAGTATTTTCGTTATTTAATATCGGCAACCTCGTGAAGTGTTGCCAACTTTTAAAATTTAATTTTCCCTGCACGTTAAGTTAAGTATTTGCTCTTTTCGTGTTATTTAGTTAACAATAGAAATAATTAGAAATGAAGTCACTGTCTTCTTATCGTAAAAATAGTTATGATTTTAACACATAATCGACAGCTATGGAAAATTGTAACAATTTAAGGGGTTTTAAGTAGGTACAGTAAAAGCTCTATTGCCCTCCTTCCATCACAAGCTGGTGAGGAAGTAGTCTCAAGTCCATAAAGTTATAAACAACCCTTTTAATACTAGTTCCCAGTAACTTACATTATACTTATAGGATATATAGAACGTGGATTGAGGTTTTATCCTTATCCTCATAGAATCTATGTTCATTTTTTCCACCAGTTTAAGATGTCTAAGCTCACCTTAAAGTTATCAGTGCCTGGTAAGGATCCCCTTTAATATTGGTGGCTTGTTTTTTTCTGGTAATACTCGCCCAGAAGTGTGTTAATATCTAAATCCCGAAATACCAAATTTTCAGATATTTTTAATATCTGTAAGTGATGTTGCCTTGCTTGTGGCAACATCACTTTAAAAACTGTTGGCACATGTATTTGTGATTCTAGGTATTAACTGCGGTATTACAAGCTTCAGAAACTGCCAACAAAATCAAAGAAGAAGCTTTAGGGATGAAAGAAAGGGCCGAAACGCTTGTGGCGTTAATCAGCATAGACCAAAAAGAAGCAGAAGCTAAACTATTGGACGCCAGACCAGCTTTAGATGCGGCTGAAGCTGCTTTACAGGTACCTACTGTATTTTAGTTTAAAAAATTCATAATAAGACCAATCATTTTGTGTTTCACAGACTATTAAAGCAGCTGATATCGCGACTGTGAGAAAATTGGGAAAGCCGCCATATCTAATTCTACTAATTATGGATTGCGTACTAATATATTTCAAGAGACACTTGGATCCCGTGAAACCGGATCATGAAAGGAATTTCTTCTTTGCAACATGGAGTGAATCGCTGAAGGTAAATATTTTGCAAAGAAATAGGTATATTATATAAAATAGATATTTTTCATTCGGATGTGTCAAAAAACGTCATTTTTCGGACAGAAAAAAACATAATTGAATAGAAAAACTTTTCTATATGCTTCAAATGAACTGCTACAAAATACATTTCAGGCCAAGGGCGTAAAATTCAAGCAGCTCCAATTTCTAAACATTCTTTTTATTCTTTATACTGACGGGAGATATGAAGACCATGCTGGATCTAACCCCCTGGGGAGATCAGAATGGTCTCCTAAGGACTCCGGATAAGTCTAAGCACTTTTGATTAAAAATTTATGAAACCCAGACGAAAAGTGTTTTCCCTCAACTTTTTATCCTTGTAACATGACCTACTAATTCAAAATGGTTCTTCTATCCTTTAGTATACTATATACTATTGTGTTTTTAGGTAATGGCTGAGTCTGCTTTTCTAAAGAACCTTCAGCAATATCCAAAAGACACAATTAACGCAGAAATGGTTGATATCTTGGTTCCTTATTTCGATAATCCCTTGTATACGTATGAAAACGCAAAACAAGCTTGCGGTAATGTAGCTGGTTTAATTTCTTGGACTATAGCCATGTCGTCATTTTATGATGTAAACAAAGAGGTGTTGCCTCTAAAGGTAAGTCCGGATAGGGAAACTTTAGGAGGTGACGTTAGGTTTCAGTTTAAAAATTGATTGATATCTTTCAGGCAAACTTAGCTATCCAACAGGCTAAATCGGATAAAGCCGAATCTGAATTGAAGGCTGCTATGGCTCTACTGTTATCGAAGGAGAGAGAAGTACAAGCATGTCAAGACAAGTATGAAGGCGCCATGGCCTTCAAACAAGTGAGTATTGCAAGGAGAGCGATAGTATAGGTATACATTCATCGCACGCAAGTATTGAAAAAGTTTTCTTCGAGTGCACAAAAGGAATAGTTCTCAAAAAATTGTTTAAATTAAACATTTCATTTAATAAACTATCGATATTGTATGGCGCTTATAATAGTCGTAAGAGACCGTGGGAGATCGACCTTCATCCATCTAATAACCAAATGAGGCATATTTTTTACAAAATTTTCAAATTCTTCTTTATATTTATTACTTAAAACTGTATTATAACACTTGGAGTGATAACCAACAAAATCTAGCGATTCATTGCTTAGCTGGATACTTCCATACTTGAAGTTTTGCTGTTTACGGAAAGAACATATTCGAAATGAATTATCATCAAAATCAAGAATGGATTTTTTTGAACCACATAAAAAACACTTTTTATTCATGTTTTATTATTTTTTTTTATTTTCCAATTACAAATAATACTCAGCACGTGTTGTCACAAAATAATTTTCAACAGCAAATAAGCACTGTGTCTGTCAATTGCATGTAAAAAAGCATGCGCATTGGATTACATTCAACGGACATGTCGCGCGCAACTGCTATGTTGTCCTGTTCGCACGAACGGACTTCGAACGTTTTACTTTCTCTCTCGCACATATTTAATTGCACCGATTTTAAAACTTTAAAGCATGGAATTAGTATTCCATGAACAGTTTTTTGCAGGCAAGCCTATACGATTATTTTCTTAATTAAATTATTTCTCTTCTGATATCAATTTTTATTGGTTGACATATCGTTATAGTTACCTATATTGACTTACCTGTTCATACCTGCTTGCCTGGTAGCCATGAACATAAATAAGTAAACAAGCCTACCGAAGCATATTCTCCATGTTAAAAACTATATTATGTTAAAATTAAATTTGTTAGGTTATCAGAAAAGTAAAGATTATAAAAAAGCAATTAAAATTTATTTAATTAAAAATAGCCATGAACACTTTTCGAATGACAATTTTCCATAGGCGTGTTAATAAATCAATAAAATTTCGTAAAAAATATGACTCATCTGGTTATTAGATGAGTGAAGGTCGATCTCCCACGGCTATATGCTTTAAAGCCATTATCCGATATACTAAGCAGAGTTAGTTAATTTGGCTTTTATAAAATAGTCAAATAAAAATGTATTGGTATTGTACCTTCTTTCCTTTTGCACATCTATTATGAGCGCAATTGAAAGATCATGTGACAATAAAGACGAAACAAGGCTTGACCGACAGAATTGATCGTTTAATGGATGAATTCACCGGCTGCAACAAGTCAATATAACGAGAAAATATTAGGTATACGAGACATGGAATTTCTTTTAACTTTAATTTATAAAAATAAAAGTTCAATTACCTTTAATAATATTATAGCAAACTATGATAATTAAATAAATTTTCGGTCGGTCAACAGTGGCGACTTCATAAAAGAACTCACTCAAGTCGTTATATATATATATATATATATATATGAACTTGAGTTATTGGGTTTGCAGCAAACCCAATAACTCAAGTTCATTTCCTAACGAGTCAGCAAAGACTTCTTTCTTGTATATATATATATATATATATATATATATATATATATATATATATATATATATATTTTGTTATTGGTGTCCGTGTATATTTGTAAATTATTTTCCTATTTTTATTATTTTGAAGTAGCAATTTTTTCGGTCACATATTTTAGTATATTTTATACTATACAAATTAAAATTTGAAATATATGTTAATCAGTATACCACACATCGTAAAAATTACATATTCATGGGTTGTCGGACTATAAAAACAGCGCTTTGACGGTCACCATGACTGATTGGATCATTGGGTGAGGTTGTATTTAATAAACAGTCCTGCTAAAATTATTTGTGGTAATTAGAAAACTTAACCTCGCTATTTTCACATGTTGCAGCCGGTGGACTCATCGATCGCCACATGCAATTATGTTGGTCAAGACTTGTTTTATCAATAAGTATACTCAATCATTCGACTGCTCCTCCTCTACTAATATTAAAGCTAAACTCCCATAAGCTTTCACACTATATCGATTGTTTCAACTATATCATTTTAATCATTCTTATTATTGCACCAGTACCAAATGTGTTGTAATACAACTTTTATTTCGTAGTTTCGTTGTAAAAAATTTTATTTTGAATAATTTGACAATATGAAAATCCTTTAGAGAATATTCGATGAAGCGGCCAAAGTAAAATTCAAGATGGACGCCGCGACGGCTCTAATAAACGGTCTAGCTGGTGAACGAATAAGATGGACGGAACAACTAGCTTTGTTTAAAGCCGAAACCGAGAGATTGATCGGCGATGTGATTTTGCTGACCGGATTTTTGGGTTACACTGGGCCGTTTAATCAGGAATTCAGATCAGCTTTACAGCAAACGTGGCTGGACGCAATTGTTAGACGTAAAATTCCTGTTACTTTAAGCCTTAACATTATCGAGAGTCTAACTGATTCTGCCACAGTAAGTTATGCATTTGGGATAAGAGAGACAAATCCTAAAACATAATTTCTTATTCCAGATAGGAGAATGGAATCTTCAGGGGCTCCCTACAGACGATCTCTCCATACAAAATGGAATCATAGTTACAACTGCAGCAAGATACCCTTTACTCATAGATCCTCAAAGCCAGGGAAAAATGTGGGTTAAAGAGAAAGAAAAATTAAACGGGCTCATAATCACTACTCTGACGCACAAATATTTCAGGTAATCCTTAAAAAGTAGGTTTTAAATATGCTTACAATCTTTGTTTTTTGGTGTTTTTATTATTTTATAATATGTAGTAAATTTTACCGTTGCATCGATTTCAAAACTTTTGTAATGATATAACCCCTAATTCATTATAGTTGTTTTCACCTCTAGTCGTTAAAATAACTAAAAATTATCGTATTTTAATATTTTTGGAAGGGGACAAAACGAGTTGGTATAGATTTCCTCCTTATATTAGAAAGATACAAATATTTTATTAAACTTTTTTATTATTTTTGATACTTTAAATAGCCCAACAAAGCCCTGTTGACATTAAATTGTTTTTCTCAGATATCTTTGCCGTCGTTGAGTTAGGGTTTTTTTGATTGGATTCGAAAATAAAGGTAAAATTTGGAGATATTATTTTCCATTTTTGGTTTGATTTTTCTTATCTTGTAAATTGTCTTTGGAAGCCAGAAAAAACGATCTTATAAAAACGAAAACAAGACGTCAAATGAAATGTCATTTATCACAAATACGCGCGTTATTTAAATTCGCCAATCATAAATCGTCGTGTTCCTAACTCACCAATCATAATGCGTCGTGTACCTAACACCGAAGGGATTACCCCCCTCAGTACATAACAAACCCATTTGAGTAACACCTCTAGTCTTATATGCTCTAAATCCCAATCGCACTAAAGTTCCTAACTACTTACCTTCAAACATGTTAACTCAAACGATAAAATGGTGAATGCCACGAACCTTGGACAATTACGTGACATTTGACATTTCCAAACAGTGTCGAAAACATAAAATATTATATGAAAAGGAAAATTCTTAAAAATCCCTATATTTAAAATGAGAACCATAAATGAATACTTATACCATTGTATTTAGATCAACTAGTAAAACAATACCAATGCAAATTATCTTGGAGGACAATGGACAGTATCAATAGATGGCAGCAAGCTTCGTGGTGTCCAAGTCATGTCTTTGATAATTTTGTCGTCTTCGAAACGAACGTAATTTCTCTATTTACTAATAGATGGACCCATAATCGATTCAGAATATTTGTTTTAAAAATGGAATATACGAGTTTAATTATGCTTGTTGAACATTTATTTACGATTTATTATCATTTTAGAGAATATAAACAATAGTAATTTACATTTAGAACTCTACCCATATGAATTTAAAAATTAAGAAAATTTTATGTATATAGAATTCTGTACTCAATGATCGAGGAAGTGCTAGCGTTCGGGCTATTTTGATGAATTTCTAACAGATGTCGCGACAAAATTGCCTCCAATGAAACGTCCATAAGGTTGTTCTACTATCTTCTCTAAATACAATGCTTATACTATTTATTAATAAATAGAATATAAAACAACGAAGGTATAGACTCGACATGTATACATGACAAACTGGTCCCTAAATGACGTCATAGTACGTCTTATTTTGGTGTCACAATGACCGCTAAAAAACGATGTTGTATGAATTACCTTCTATTTATTTAATAATGAATAGCAAAAAGTCACAGTACATTAATGACATAAATAGGTTTATTTTGTTCGCAGCTACTGTGTTACGTGGTCCGAAAATGTCATTATTACGTTACTTTTGCGTCAAAAAATCACATCGATGTATTTGACCAAAATTCAACGTGATGATGACGGAAGGGTCAAAACCAGCATATTTGAATTGTGTTTGGACTAGTTTTTTTTTTTTATTTTATTTTTCTCGTATTTTTTTTTACTTTTACAGTATCTAAGGTTATAGAAAGTTCTATAAAATGCTTTCCTTACAATTTATTTTCGTTTATAAAAGCCTGCAAAATATTACCTATATTTTCGAATCCAATCAGCAAAAACTCAACACTCAACGACGGCAAAGATATCTGAGAAAAAAAATAACTTAATATCAAGGCGAGAAAAGATAGAAGATAACTTAATCGGCTATGTTAGTTTTTTTAAAGTCTCGAAATAATAAAAAACATGAATACCCTAGAAAATATTTTGTATCTCTTTGGAATGTCAGGAGGAAACCTATACCAACTTAATTTTTGTCCCCTTCCAAAAATGTTAAAAATCTATCATTTCAGTAATTTTATTTTGACGACGAGAGGTAGAAACAACTATTACGGAAAATTTACCGTTATACTTTTCGCGTATAAATTTTATAGTCCTCTGTTTGTTTTCAGAAATTTTTTGGAAGATTCCGTCGCTCTAGGATATCCGATATTAATCGAAGATATTGGAGAAGATTTAGATCCAGTACTGGATAACGTAATGGAAAAGAATTACATCAAGATGGGTACAACGCTTAAAGTAAAACTAGGAGACAAGGAGGTCGATTACAACGACCAATTCAAGCTTTACATAACTTCCAAACTGGCGAATCCCAAGTATACGCCAGAAATATTTGCCAGAGCTTCTATTATCGATTTTACCGTAACGATGAAAGGGCTGGAGGACCAGTTGCTGGGCAGGGTTATATTAACGGAAAAACGGGAATTGGAACAGGAGAGAACCAACCTCATCAAAGACGTTACGGCTAACAAACGAAAAATGCAAGAGCTCGAACAAAACTTGTTGTACAAATTGACCACCACTCAAGGTTCTTTATTGGACGACGAATCGGTTATTATAGTGCTAAATGTAACTAAAAATACTGCGAACGAAGTTAAAGAGAAACTAATAGTTGCTAAAGATACGGAAATTAAAATTAACTTGGCTAGAGAGGAGTTCAGATCGATAGCGACTAGGGGAAGCGTCTTGTACTTCTTGGTCGTATCCATGTCTATGGTTAATTTTATGTATCAGACATCTCTGACGCAGTTTTTGGAAAGATTTGATTTATCCATGATCAAATCGGAAAAATCTCCCCTAATTGCAAAGTAATTATGGTTTTTAACTGTTGTCACTGTTGATTACTTTAACACAACTCACAAGAGTTTTTAACCCCTTGCCTTGGGGCATTAAATTATTTAAATAATACAAATAATTTAAATAATTTAATATTTAAATAATTTAAATAATTTAAATAATTTAAATAATTTAAATAATTTAAATAATTTAAATAATTTAAATAATTTAAATAATTTAAATAATTTAAATAATTTAAATAATTTAAATAATTTAAATAATTTAAATAATTTAAATAATTTAAATAATTTAAATAATTTAAATAATTTAAATAATTTAAATAATTTAAATAATTTAAATAATTTAAATAATTTAAATAATTTAAATAATTTAAATAATTTAAATAATTTAAATAATTTAAATAATTTAAATAATTTAAATAATTTAAATAATTTAAATAATTTAAATTATTTAAATAATTTAAATAATTTAAATAATTTAAATAATTTAAATAATTTCAATAATTTAAATAATTTAAATAATTTAAATAATTTAAATAATTTAAATAATTTAAATAATTTAAATAATTTAAATAATTTAAATAATTTAAATAATTTAAATAATTTAAATAATTTAAATAATTTAAATAATTTAAATAATTTAAATAATTTAAATAATTTAAATAATTTAAATTATTTAAATAATTTAAATAATTTAAATAATTTAAATAATTTAAATAATTTAAATAATTTAAATAATTTAAATAATTTAAATAATTTAAATAATTTAAATAATTTAAATAATTTAAATAATTTAAATAATTTAAATAATTTAAATAATTTAAATAATTTAAATAATTTAAATAATTTAAATAATTTAAATAATTTAAATAATTTAAATAATTTAAATAATTTAAATAATTTAAATAATTTAAATAATTTAAATAATTTAAATAATTTAAATAATTTAAATAATTTAAATAATTTAAATAATTTAAATAATTTAAATAATTTAAATAATTTAAATAATTTAAATAATTTAAATAATTTAAATAATTTAAATAATTTAAATAATTTAAATAATTTAAATAATTTAAATAATTTAAATAATTTAAATAATTTAAATAATTTAAATAATTTAAATAATTTAAATAATTTAAATAATTTAAATAATTTAAATAATTTAAATAATTTAAATAATTTAAATAATTTAAATAATTTAAATAATTTAAATAATTTAAATAATTTAAATAATTTAAATAATTTAAATAATTTAAATAATTTAAATAATTTAAATAATTTAAATAATTTAAATAATTTAAATAATTTAAATAATTTAAATAATTTAAATAATTTAAATAATTTAAATAATTTAAATAATTTAAATAATTTAAATAATTTAAATAATTTAAATAATTTAAATAATTTAAATAATTTAAATAATTTAAATAATTTAAATAATTTAAATAATTTAAATAATTTAAATAATTTAAATAATTTAAATAATTTAAATAATTTAAATAATTTAAATAATTTAAATAATTTAAATAATTTAAATAATTTAAATAATTTAAATAATTTAAATAATTTAAATAATTTAAATAATTTAAATAATTTAAATAATTTAAATAATTTAAATAATTTAAATAATTTAAATAATTTAAATAATTTAAATAATTTAAATAATTTAAATAATTTAAATAATTTAAATAATTTAAATAATTTAAATAATTTAAATAATTTAAATAATTTAAATTATTTAAATTATTTAAATTATTTAAATTATTTAAATTATTTAAATAATTTAAATAATTTAATTTAAATAATTTAAATAATTTAATTATTTGCTTTGTCAAGATCACATACTTTTTTGTTCCGTCAAGCAACGTTGTTTCTCCTTATTTTTTAGACGTCTCCAAAACATCATCGATTATCTGACATACGAAATTTTCAAATACCAAGTACGAGGCGTCTATGAAGAACACAAGTATATGTTTGTGCTATTGATGTGCCTTAGGATAGATTTGGATAGAGAGGCCATTACTCACGAGGAATTTAATAATTTCATCAAAGGAGGCGCGGCCTTGAATTTGACAGCTTGTCCACCAAAGCCGGCTAAGTGGATAACGGATTCGACATGGTTGAATTTGGTGTCGATATCCAATTTGAGACATTTCCAATATATCGTGTCACAGGTATAGAAATCCTTTATACCAGGTTGTTCGCACGAAAAATTAGGAAGGCTTTATTTCTGATTACATTTAAGTTGGAATCTTGAATTTTTGAGGTATGAGACAGAACATAGGGGAACGTATTTTCACATAATTTTCATCCCACAACACACTAAGCTACACTTACGTCAAAAAATTCAATGAAACCTTGTATATGGATATATAAAACCCCTCTTCTAAATTTCTACTTGGGCAGGGGTTACTCTATGTAAATTTAAAAAAATTACTTAGACAATAAAAATGTAACAAAATATAACAAAAAAAACCTCGGTCTTTTTTCGATTTTCGTCCTCTATACTGTTGCTTGTCTCTTCGACCTCTATACCGTTTCTTGTCTCTTCGACCCATTTGTTCACCTTTCCTTTGCCTCACTCTACACCTACTTGATCTGCTTACTTCTGTCTTCTAATATGTCTGCTGCTCCACTCTCTAACCTTTGTGCAAGTACTGCTTACCTCCCCCTTACCTTTTTTTATTGATACACCTTTACTTCATCTGCTTCTTTTCAAAATACTCCTTTCCTGATATTTTTATCTTCAGCTCATTGTGTACTCCTTGTTCAAATCTTTTTAGCAAATGGTTTTCAATATTAATCCTTTGTATCATTTCAACACTTTTGACAATTCAAGTTTCTCTCTGACCATCTTAAAATGCAGTAGCGCATCCAGAGTTTAGGTCTGGGGGTAGTAGTAATATAGTTTAAGTCTGGGGGTAGTGGTAATTTTTAAGACTTTATTATTGATAATAATACATTTCAGTACCTATAGAAAGTTAGTTATAAAAATTCTTGGGGGAGGTAATTACTCAACCCGTATATGCGCCCCTGTTAAAATCCTTCACTGATAGTTCTCTTTACAAACTGTCTGTTTTTATTTTCAAAATTCCATTTTCAGAATTGAACCACCCCAGTATTCAAAAACATGTTGACGAACGTCCAATTTTTCGTCCCAGAAATGCCCATATCAATATATTATAAAGGATTATGAAGAAGCACATTTTTTTGGGTACCTACATTCATAATAAAAACATTAATTACATAGGTTACTTTTTGAGATATTTTAATTTAAAATTTTGATAGATTATTTTATTCACTACGAAAAATCAAGTTACATATGGTTGAACAGTATGTCGAATTACATTCATCTTTGCACTGTTTCGTACCCCAAAAATCGAAGACACTTGGTATTCGAAAAGGCGATTTGTATTTTTGAAATTTGTAACTTTTAACTTTTAAGTACCTACCCAAACAAATATTTTTCCTCACAAAAATAAATTCCAAACTTGCCATGGGAATGCTTTATTAATACTCACACTCCTTCCTCATCTAGCAGATTTTGATTAAATCACAATGGATCTTCCAATTGACAATCAATTAACGATATATTCACACTACAACAACCCAGGCCAAATCATCTCCACCCTACTGATAGACTATCTATCATCACTTCCACGTGCCGTTTTACTTGAAGACGTGAACTCCAGACATACTATTTTCGGAGATCATGCATCAAATATAAATAGCATCCGTCTAGCTAATCTGATTATTGTAACATTTGGCATTATTATTTGAAAATATAAAGAATTTACCAAAAATTCTAAAAAAGAATTTTAATGTTAAATTTTAAATTAATAATTCAAAAGATACACACGTATGGAAATAAAACAATCAGGTTATTACTCCAGTCAATGGCTTATGTTGAACTAGGAAATTCAAGTTAGAACGTTGGCATTCTAAAGGCGGGTACAGATCTGAGCGCGTACGCATATGTGGCAAGCCGAGGACACATGATTATGCAGATGTGGACGGGCTTCCGAGGCGAGGCAACTTGCCTCGTTGTGTGCGCCGTACGGCCTCGCCCCAAACCGTTTGTTGGCGTTACATCAAAGGGAGGCAATGTGCAGTACGTGCTCAGTCTGGACGGGGAATTTGTACCATACAGCACCGTAGAATTTATTTTGCATGGAGTGGAACCAGAAAAACGTTTTACTTCTCCTGGATTTAAATAATCAGCGTGATATCTAAAGAGAGCAAAACGCTAGTTTTATTACAACACCATAAAAAAGTATATCCTTGGCAGGAAATCGTCCATTGATTCCTTTCTCTCCTTTTTCCTTTAATGTGTCGAATAAAATAATAAAACATGCACTCAACTCCGCCACGTCATCCTCATCCTTCATTTTTTTTTAATTTTACGAATGTTCTGGGTATACGGTTGCGTGGCCGCGAATTTACTGGATCAGTGGCGAACAGCGCCTCGTGCGTCCACCATTTGTGTATACAAAATGCGTCGTACGAGGCATTCGGTTCGTCCTCGGCTTGCCCCATACGCGTACGTGCTCAGATATGTACCCGCCTTAACAAGTCCTACTATCACGTAAATTTTGGGTTTATATTAAGGTGACCATTTTTTTCTAAACTAAAACCAGGACAATATTAATTTTAATTAAACCCAAGTAAATAAAAAACTTAGATATAAAAAAATGTTGCGTTTATTTAAACAAGAAATATGAAAAATTTTACAATATAAAAAAAAATAAGATGAAAAACACAATAAACAACACATCCCATTTAGTGTGGTTTTTCATATATTTTTCTGAAGAATGAATTGCCTTTAACAAATATTCGTTTTCCTGAATATTTCCATAGAATTCTATGCAGCTCTCATTTAAAATATTTTTGACTATCAACAAGGATTTCAAAGTTTTTACATTCAAATGGGTTTTCTCCCTAGTCTAGATATTGTTTAATAAAGATTTAATAAAACCAGTTCGGTAGGTGCATTAGTTCCTGGTATACAGAGACAATAATACTCTACCAATTTGCCAATATTATTGTGGGAAACATCATTTTCATCAAAAGCTTTAAAAATTTCAATCCACCGAAACACCGAAACACAATTTTGATTCCAATGCCCAAGTTTCTCATCTGAGACGTAGCGCTGAACGAAGCCGATTTCATCAGAGTTCATCTTCAATTAAATTTATTTCCAGATAACATCGAAGTAGATAATCACTACATTATTAAATAATTTGATATGATTAGTGTAATCCAATTAAATATCTCGATTCCCATTTGTCCAGATACTGAAATCACGTCCTGTAAAATTGCAGCACTGTTTCTTTAAAAATATTTGATTTAACTAAGCCTTCTTTTTCGTCTCGCTTTTTTAAATTTTGTCAAACTTGCAGGGGAAGAAACACATTTGCTATCCTGTCAGCAATTTTAGTTTTAAGGTCTTTGTAAATGATGCTTGTTTCCAACACAGAAATATCCTGTCCTTTTATCTTTAAAACCGTGTTGTGAAACATTGACGATATATTATGGATAAAGAAAAGCCAAGATTCGGTTTCAGGATTCTCAAAATAATTTTTAATAATTGTCGGAATTTTTTCATTAGACGCAAAATACGATTTTAATGCAGGAAATATTTCTAAAACGCGCCCTATAGTTGGTCGTACCGCTAACCATTGCGTAGCACTGTAATTCAAAAGTTTTTTATATTCTATGTCTACAAAATTACAAAATTCTTTTTAATTCACTGACGCGCACATTAGCAGGGGTCGCGGCGGTTGGGACTGGGAACTTTTTACTGACCGTGGGAACCAAATTTTCCTTTGATGATACCGCCCTGCCACGCCCACGCAATTCATACCTCGTTGGAAAGGGCTTTAAGCAAAGATTACATAAAAATAATTTAAAAAATTCCAACTACCCCCTTTCATCCCCCGCGAACCACCCCCTCATTGAAAAATTGATCAATCATAGTGTGTGATACGTCGTTGAAAAGGTCTTAACGTACAGAGTAAGAAAAAAATAATGAAAAAATTCCACCTACCCTCCTTCACCCCCACGACCCCCCTCATACTTATAAAATATAAAACATGTGATACGTCGGTCTTAACGTACAGAGTAAGGGAAAAATAATGAAAAAATTAATGTCCTTTAACAGAAAAATCATGCGCAATGCCATAAGGATCTTAGCACGTATCTTCACTGCTATTGGTCCGATTTAAACGGGAAAAACGGAATTACGTACAAGAGAAAAATCATGCGCAATGCCACAAAGGCCCTAGCGTGTATCACGTGGTCCGATTTAAACGGGAAAAACGACATTACGTAAAGAACGATTAACGTAAAAGAGAAAAATCTTGTGCAATGTCAAAGGGGCCTTAGCACGTATCTTCAGCCATTCGCAAGTGCACATGCGCAATGTCAAAAGGACCTAAGCGTGTATCACGTGGTCCGATTCAAACGGGGGAAAAACGTCAATATGTAAAAAACGTCGTACAGAAAAATCATGCACAGTGACGGACCACCTACGCAGTGACAGGCCAAAAGGGCATAAAACTTATCTTCATTATTATTGGGAGGATTCCATCGGGGAAAACGAATACATACGGAGAATGACAACTAGATGATATTTACAAAGTGCGCGAGAAGAAGCGATGTAGCATCGACGTTGCAAACTCATATCTTCGTTTACATGTACACATGCGTGTTGCAAGCGACGTAAGCGATGCAAGTGATGCAAACGACGTAAGCGATGGTCCATCAAAGATAAACGTGGTCTCCTTGGCAATCATGGTAAAAGGTGGGGGGCTCCCTTTAAACGACAATCGTAATATCTGGATGTAGCATAAATTTATATACATTTCAACGGTTAGAGTACTATTCTGAGCCCATACAGCGAAAGCCATCTTAGCTATTTCAAAATACCTTGAATGCCGTCCCGCTTTCGGAAAGTACCACTTTAAATATTTCTTATTCCATTTATAATATGCTCATGTTTTCGTTATTTAATGTACCGTCAATATCAGTAATGCCATTTTCACTTTTTATTTATATATCCAAAACGTTGTAAATACTCAACAACATCATCTCGAGTTGTTATGCTTTTATCAAATATCATTGCTACGACACTAAAAAGTATCAGAGTAAATACGTCTCAATTCTTAGACATCTT